TCAAAATCTGTGATGTGAGTGGAGATTCTTGGTTGAATTGACATGGAATGACCCACCAGATAATTCCATGACTATGACTATGTAGAATGGCAACAATTGAGGAAGCTCCTGGAGGGCTGGTTTCTGGCTGAAAAGAAGGTTTTTAAAGACGATGATAAGCGTAATACTCCCTCATTAGGGTTTACTGATATACTGTCTGTAATCACACATCAAACAATTACAATTTATTTAAAACACAAATGGGAACATTATCTTAAACTAATGCTAAAATAGATCAGATATGGAAGGTTTTTGTAGGTCTACAGAGTATTTAATAACAACAATATTAAATAAATAAATCAATAACAATAATAATAGTACCTAGTGTTTCAATCGGGCTCTTGCCTGCTGCTTTGAGGTGTCAGCTTGGGGCTCAATAAAAAATAAATTAATAATAATAATAATAATAATAATTATAAGTGTAAGAAGAAAAAGAAGAGTGTTTCCCTAATAACTTAAGTGCCTTTGAGCATACTTGTTTCAGATGTGTTGATCCTAACTTCATTGTTTTAACTTTTACACTCACCTTTCTACTTAACTTCACATTGAGCACATGCCAGACTTTTTGCAGCAACAAATAAACAGTATATAATCTGGAGCTGAGGACAGACAAAGTTAGACACTAGCAGAATATTTAGCAGCTAAAAAGCGCGACTTATTTGTCATCATTTTTTATACACCATGCAAATCAGAGTAAAAGACAAGAATAGTTTGTATGCGATATAAGACATGAAAGCTTTGCTACTGAAAAGTATTCTCCTATTAAGACAAGTTTGCAGTGAAGGTTTAAAAACGATGCTTCTCAGAAATTTCATGCTGGTGGGAAAGAATTAAAAGGCTGAAATGATATTCGAGATTGAAACCATGTTTTCCACTAAACTTGAGCTAACACAGGAGAGGCTGGCCGAATCCAGTCTAATAAATGTCTTTTCCCACAGTGTGTGGTCTCTCATGTGTAAGTTTGTCTCTTTTATTTTTGAATGCCTCAGGGGGATAAAGGGGATCAGGGATACAAAGGTCAGAAAGGAGAAAAGGGTGACAGCGGCCTTCCTGGTCCCCCAGGACTGCCCGGGAGGTCAGGACTTGTAGTGAGTATTCCTAATGGTATAGGTATCATTGTAAGATCTTTTAATTATTCAGGTATCAGGCTGATTCTTTATTATGAATGTTTTTTTCTTGCAGTGGCTGTTTAACATCTTTGAAAACTAAAAAAAGGAAATGTTCAGCTGGAAAGAAAGTGCGCTTTCAAACACTGAGACAATTGACCTTAGTCTGTTTTTATGTTCCTTCAGGGTCCAAAAGGTGAGTCTGTTGTGGGTCCTCCAGGTCCTGCTGGTGCAGCTGGCCAGCCTGGAGCTCCTGGGTTTGGACGACCTGGTCCCAGAGGACCCCCTGGCCCTGCTGGACCCCCAGGACCTGTGTCCACACATGGATCAGGTATGTTTATGAGGACTAAAGAGAAAGACTGTAAAAGTTAAACAACTCTAGTCATAGACCTTGTTGTGTAACTGCATGATGTGTTAGATGTATCGCTGTTGTGTTATCTACAGCTGTAAATATCCCCGGTCCTCCTGGTCCACCTGGCCCACCAGGATCTCCAGGATATGCCAACCCGGTAAGAAACTGGCCACTGAGCCTAGCACTTACACGAGTCTGCTGAATAATCATTTGTAGAGGTTATCTTGAACCCGACTGGAAACATATGCTATAACTAACTGTGGTCAGGTCTGAACCAGTTCAGACGAGTCTTTCAAGGTGTCCTGAAGAAACCACACTGATGCTATTTTTGTGTTCATTCAGGTGACCACCTACAAGACCATCCATGCTCTGACCAGAGAGACTCACCGTGCTGCGGAGGGAATGCTGGCCTTTGTGTCTGAGCGAGGAGGAGAGCTGTACATCAGAGCACGCAACGGCTGGAAAAAGATCCCGGTGAGTGTTTGGCCCCTCAATCCCTGTCCTTAACCCATATGACCAATTATCTGTGTAAAAATCAATATTTACAGCTCACACCATACCTGCTTAAGACATGACTAAAGACAAAAAGCTTCACATACTCTGAGTTAGCAGAATTTGTTAAGACTGAGTTTGTGCTAAATGCCAGGTAAGCTTTATAAAGGCAGACTCCACTGATGAGGTCAACATGGGTTGTAGCTTTAAGCCCGATTTAACATATTTGTCCCTCTTTCAGCTTGGAGAATTGATCCACTCTGGAGCTCAGTCCTCAGCGGCCTCTCAGGCTCTCAGCAGGCCTGGAGAATGGAGCAGAGCACAGAGGGCTTACAGCCAGGTGCACACACACACACACACACACACACACACACACACACACACACACACACACACACACACACACACACACACACACACACACACAATACATGTATCTGCTCATGTTTATATATTCATATTCTTATTTAGAAATACTAGAGATCTACTGGAGATATAAAACTTTCAGTTGAATGAGGTGAATGAGGGAACAATTTGAAACACTAATTTATGGTTAAATAATCAGACTAATTCATGTTTTTCTTGCTAAATAGGAGCTTCAAGACAGCAGTCGAGGATATCAACCCAGTTACAACGTGCTACCACAGACCTTTAATGCTGTACCCGGGGTGAGAGTCACAGACTTAAGTCCTTGTTTATACACAAATAGGTGCACACATAAACTTTTCGAGTGTTCAGTGCTTCCCTGAATAGCAGACTGAATGATGTCAGAGCTGTGATTTGTTATTTGTGGTGTTTGTACCATTTTATACTGTACTTCCTCCTCCTCCTCACTCTTGTGTTTGCTTCACCCAGCTCCACCTGGTGGCCCTGAACGCCCCACTGAAAGGAGACATGCGTGGTATCCGGGGGGCAGACTTCCAGTGCTACCAGCAGGCCCGCTCCATGGGGCTGACAGCCACATACAGGGCTTTCCTGTCCTCACACCTCCAGGACCTGGCGACCATTGTGAGGAAGGTGGACCGTGCTGAGATGCCTGTGGTCAATCTCAGGGTGAGGAGGGAACTTTGATTTGCATTAACAGTTGAATAAAGGTAACACAGACATAAGAGATGCATGTATCCAAGCTGATAGTGTTTTGATGGCCTCCTTAGGGTGAGGTGTTGTTTAGTAGTTGGACATCGATCTTCTCTAGGAATGGAGGAACATTCAACCCATCTGTACCCATCTACTCCTTTGATGGACGCAATGTGATGACTGACTCAACATGGTGAGTGTTAATTAAGTACACAGAAATTATGACCACAAATGTCAATTTATCAATAGCCTACTGATAATAAAAACTCTACACAGTAAGTCTTGTTTTTGTCAACATGATGATGACACAGTTACTTTGAAAAAGTAATTTGATTACTGGTAATGGATTACTCCTTTTAAAAGTAGCTTTTTATTTACTTTACTGATTACTTGATTTTAGAAGTAACTAAGTTAGATTACTAGTTAATTTTTGAGTTACATTCAGCAGCCTCAACATATAAATGACAACCATTTTCTTAAAAATACATGTTTTTTTGAATAAATAAATAAAAATAGTCTTTCTTGACTGACAAAATGTAAACTTTTTTAAAAATAAAATAAAGACAGTCTTTTAAATAGTGGCTGTATTTCCAGCTTGAGAACGCACATCTCTCTCCTCCCTCCATTGTTGTTTATGTTCGTTTTGCTGCGGCTGCTTTATGTGTGTGTACATGTATTACACGTGAGTGGTCCTCGTGCTGAAAAAGTGACTTGTCACCTACGTGACTGACGTCACTCCCCCTGTACCAAAATAAATCTGTCTTTTTTTAAGGAAAATGAGAAAAAAGTCACGCACACAGTGACTTGGACATGTAACTTCAATCTAATTACTGGTTTGGAAATAACAATGCATTGGATGACTCGTTACTGAACAAAGTGGACTTATTAGAGTAGCGTGTTGCTAAGGAACACATTACTGGCATCACTGGTGATAAATCATCATAGGTGAAAGTGCAGCTGAGTGCTCAGTACACTGTCTGTCTAGTGCTTCTGTTCAGGGACATTTCTTGGATTGTGGGACATGAGGGACTAAACTAAACAGAGACCCCCTCACACCCCACCTTAAAAAAAGAGATAGTCAAAGAAAATAAAGATTGTCAAGTGACCACAGAGGGAATGTTGTGTGTCTGTACCTGGAAAAATGGTAGTCCTCATGCCCCTTGTCAAAGTCCAGAAAATCACCCAGGTGAATTTTACTTTTATTCACTAAAACTGTTTAGAGCAAAAATGACTAGAATGTGTCTAAAACTAAAGGAATTTTAGTCCAAAGAATTTGACCAAATATGAAATAGAAGCCAAAATTAGCAGTGGCTTGTAAGCAAAAAGGGTGAAAGCAGCCAAGTGGAAGAGATGAATGATGAAACAACCAGTTTCAAAGCAGCATTGAAAAAAAAAAATGATTTGACTCTTTACCAATGAGAAAAAATGTCTCTGATAAGCTGTTTAAAAAAAGAAGTGTGGACTCTCATTTCAGGCACATTGCTGTGTAAAACTCAGAACTGATAAAGCTGGCAAATTAGAGTTTCTGACGTAATCATCCTTAGACTCACAAAGTTTCTCCTCCTTCTCATCCTCCAGGCCAGAGAAGCTGGTTTGGCACGGCTCCAGCACAGTGGGAATCCGACTGACCACCAACTACTGTGAGGCATGGAGAACAGGCGACATGGCGGTGACGGGACAGGCTGCTCTGCTGCAGACAGGACGCCTGCTGGGGCAGCACACCCGCTCCTGCTCCAACCACTACATAGTGCTGTGTATAGAGAACACGTATGTGGGAAGCATGCATCAAAAGAGGACCTGAAGAGGTGGAGGAAACACACAAACCCACACATAAATGCATGTGCAGGCATGCTGGGAGTGCAGACAAGAAATGATAACACAGTGCACATAGAGCTCATTTCAAATGAAGGGGGAGAACATGCAGGCACATACACACGTTCACATCATATCACTGTAGAGAAAGCTCACAAACATGAGGCCCCTGTGTTCAACCATGCAACACAGGCACACACACTTTTACAAGTATTAACGGGCACCTGCACTCAAGTACAGAATGGTCAACACACCTACATCATTCACAAGTACATCTTTAGTATCAAGTTAAAGGTGTTGAAGTTAAAAGAGTCTCTGGACTAAAGTTAAAAGAACTCCACAGACCATGCCAGGGTTTTAGGCCTCTTCCTGTAAATCTTATATCTTCCTATTTCTGATCATCTTTGTCAAATCCAAGTAAAGTTTAAGGTCCAGGTGTGAGATTTCCAAAGCACCACAACGTCCTCATTCAGTATTAAGTTCCTTTTTCTCGGCAGTATTGTACTTATATGCATTGCATTACATTAACAATCCAACCAACAACAAAATATGATAAGTATTCTGAACCCTGTTTCCCCTGAACTTACTGTACTCCTTAAAGGAATATTCCGGCATAAATTTAAGTCATGGTCAAACATCATAACACAGAGTTAGACACCCCCACCGAGAGATGAATGTTGCCGACTGCTTGCTTCTCTAGTTATACCAACTTTAGTAACAACCGTACAATGGCAATACACAACAGTCTACGTCTCCACGCCCAAACCTCAACCAAAACGCCACTCTATAGCCACAAATAATGCTCAGAACAGCACCTAACTTTATCAACAGTACATATAGGGTCCCAGCCATAGCACTAGCCATCAAACATCTTTTTAGTTTTGCCTGGTTTCTTTAGCAAAGAGACTAAACACAACTCACCCACTCTCTTCCAGCAGCCGCTTGTTTGTGGGGGAGCCCTGACGAGTCTATCACAGAGTGCAGCGTATTATTTCCTTGAAGTAATAATCACCATATTAATCATTTTGCACTGCAGACGTGGTAGTTCTTCTGCCTTAGCGTCTCGGTCTGATTGCATTTTCATGAAGTAATAATCAGAAATGTTCTTCCTCGACCTGCGAAACTCCACTGCACTCGTCAGGGCTCCCCCACAAACAAGAGGCTGTTGGAGGACAGTTGGTGAGTTGTGTTTAGTCTCTTTTTTAAGAATCCCCAAGGTCGTTACTAAAGTGGGTATAACTAGAGAAGCAAGCGGTCGGCAACATTCATCTCTCGAGGGGGTTGTCTAACTCAGTGTTCTGATGTGTTTGACCATGACCTAAACTTATGCCCGAATATCCCTTTTGAAACTAGTTCTTCACAGAGGAGATCAACTTAAAATCAGTTTCATTTGATTATAAATAGTAACATGATGTACAGCTGTGTAATTTGTAGTTGATGCTTAAGTCTTTGGGATGAATCATTTTCCTTATCTGGGTAATGGCATCTGGTTTTTAAATATGATTTTTTTTTTTTTTTAATTCTAGCCTGTTTTCTAATCCTGACAGTGTTGTAGTTTGGTGTACAGCTGTATTACATATCAGTATCAATATAAGGAGACTCCCCTGAGGAAACTGCAGGAAGTTTGTCTTTCGAACATGTCAAAGAAAACAAAAAACAACACTCGAGTACTGTTACAAAAATTGTATAATACACTACACTAAGTCATGTCAGCCAATAACAGCATCCTTTTGTTTCCTCCATTTTTTAATTGGCAGTATTTTAACAAGAGTTTACCACCAACATATTTCCTCTCGTTGATGAATCCACAAATATTAACTATGTTAAAGAGATTGATAGAAAGAAATCCCACATATAGAGACGTAGATCTAATGATGACGTAGAAGAGACAGCATAGATAGCAATAAAGGCTGAATTCATGATCAGATCATGGCGTCCCTTGGTTAGTGTGCTTTGATTTGACTGTGGTGCATTTATTTGTTATTTTAATACATATTAGCGCCTCATAATTCAGTATTACAGGATATTAAAAAGGTTGAAAATTATGGTCTGTTTTTTACTAATTGTTTTGCCCCGCTGCCTGCAAAACTAATCTCAGCATTCACGTCAGCTTTAACTTTAGTGTTAGCATTGAAATCAATGTAATTATCATTAATTTATGAAGTAGCAGATCACAGTTTGAAAATAGCGAGTTCACTTGCAGGTTTGGATGAAGTTGAAACATGTATAAATTTATATAAGTGTGTCATTATAATGTTGTTAATGTTGTTTTTTACTCTGTAGAGGTAGATTTTGTATGTCACACTCTAAATGACTCACTGCTTTCATTGAGTTGCAGCTTCATTCTTCTGCCTGTAAAGATGATACAGGTCTGACTGAAGGCACACCATGTTTGAAGTATTTTCAACATAAGAGTTCACGGTGTCATATTATGTTGTTACTGTTCGAATGAAACTTGAGCTTTTGAGGAAAAAAAACAAACTGATTGTACTGACTGACTGGTGCTCACTGAATAAATGTCTTTTTGTGTGTGTTTTTTAAGTTTTGGAGTCTGTTTCAACTTCCTTCTTTGTGTGTCCATCAAATCTCACCCTCAAAAAACATCCACAATTTCCAGAAAACTCAGGACATAAACTATATTAAACAACCGAACTTTTTAGTTCCAACATTTCATATATTTACCTAAATCCAGGGTTGAAATTACCCGTAAACCATTTAATTCAGATTAAATTTGGCAGCTGGATCACGGCATGTTTACAGTTGCGTTTCATCACTTTTTGAATAACTGAGTCTCTGGAGTTGTTTAAGTTTCAGCTGTTCAACAGTTTGGTATGTTTTTTTGTGTCATGAGGCCAGTTCAGCACCAGGACTCTTCTACTAAAGAGGCACGCTGTTGTAACACATACAGAATGAGGCTTGGTATTGCCCCAAAATCTGTATGTACCTTTTAGCATTTATGGTGTATTCCCAGCCAAGTTGGATGGTCTTTCTTTTTTGTAGACTCGAGGATGTAGTGTCCGTGATCCCAAAAAAAGGGAAAAAAAAGAAAGAAAACAGACCGCAAGACAGTTTTCCACTTCAGATCATCCATTCATCTATCATGATCTTTTATTATTGGGGTCGCAGAGGGGCTGAAGCCTTTTTTTTTAATGCACACACTCACACCCATAGTGTCGTCAATTTGTCAAACTAACCTGACAAGCACACAGAGAAAACCCTCGCACACATGCATGGAGAGGACAAACAAACTCCACATGCAAAGACCCCTGCATAACTGGGAATCAGGGAACCCTCAGTTCAGCATTTCCAAATCAGGTTTACACTTAGACTTTTTTTAATGGTATTTTTTTGAGCTGCATTTGTGGATGAAGTGACAAACTGTATTCACACAGTTTTTGAAAGCGATTTTTAAGCTTATGTGGAGATTTCCACTGCAGAGTTATATCTGTTTAAGAGCAACGCTGCCTTGGGGCCAGTAGATCACTACCATCCAGTACTGAATAAAGATTATCCGAGTCACTGAATGATGTTATGTTCTGTAGATAATGAAATCTAAAAAAAAACCTTTGTCATCCAATATGCTCACAGTCTCTCGGTAAGCAGTGAAACCCTCCCCATCTTCTCATCAGAGAAACTTTAGTTTATTTTCCATCCCCCAACATTTTTTGAATGTGTTGTTGGCATATAGTTTAAAACAGTTTTTTTTTTTTTAATAAACAGTCACATTATTCACTTTAAAGTGTTGGATTGGGCAGTGACACAGTTGTCATCTCTGGAAAAAAAAATCACAAAAGTTAATGAGTAAAGTTTGTTTTTTATCTGACAAGAGGCAGTTACATTGTGACAAAAGATTCACTTTAATTAAATGGATATTTACAGCACAATTCTGAATCAAAACAAGTCAAAATCTCTTCATATGAAGAATTATCTACTTTGTTACATTTAAAAAAAAGATACAGGTGTGCTTTAATTTCCAAAATGTTTACCATGTCCCTTATTGCACCAGAGCCATACAGACTTGAGTTCTAGAGTCAGTGTGAGAGTACGAGCCTCAAAAAGACACACACACATAAAAACAAGCTTTATACCGGGGCCCCTCCAAACAAGGACAATGTCAATCTGGCTGCTTCACGACTACAGCATGACCACAAATATTAGAGACAGTAATTGTTGAGACAGCGTAGAAAAGATGCTGAGACTGCCTAGAAAAGGGATTCTGTAAAAAATTTTAGCACAAGAAGCATAATTAAGATATTTTAAAACAGGTTTATTTTGTATGAGTCAATAAATGAGTCATGGGGTGTGTGGAAGTGTCGAGTAAAGTCAAGATCTTAAAATATTCGGACAGGTCAAAAAATCCAAAAGAAGAATCTGGAGAAATGTTCATAAATGCATCTTAAAGAGTTCGTACGCACGAATAAATAAAGCAGTCTTCATTGTTTATAGAGTTCCAAAGATCTTTGGCTGCAGAAACACAGATACAAAAATGACCCTATGGGGTACCTTCACTTTTTGACATCTCATATCTTCTTTCATTGCACAGATCAACAGATTTTAAGACATTCAATAATAAGAAATTCAAATAAGAAAGGAAAACTTCACTGTCTGAACCTTTAAGAGCCAGGAGGATTCCATTTTCTGTTTGTGTTTTGTTAATTTAGTAACCAGTGAATACTTTTTTTTAACATTGTCAGCTTCCATAGTCACTGGACAGAACGTCAGATGCTCGAAGATTTAAAATTACACCCAAGTAAAACATTTGTTTCATTTTTGCATGTGTCAAATCAACCAAAGTCTCTTGACAAATTTGATCTTAAGAAAAAGATGAATCGACATCAGAATCAGGCAGTATGAGCTTTCTGTAGCTCCAGCTCAACTCACAAATCTATAAGACTGCACTGATATTTTAAAAGAAAGCCTCCACAAGGCCCAGTTTAGAAAATCAAGAGAAAAATAAGACAACCTGTTTGAGGTCATTCTGGGGTCACGTGGAGGTGTTTAACAGCACATCATGTGTGGTACTGTGTATGTGTGTGTGTGTGTGTGTGTGTGTGTAGTGTTGGGGAAATCCTTTGTCAAGTCAATCCTGCTGTGTGAATATTTAACTGAGCCGCTAGCAAACCATAAAAAAGTAGAAAAAAGTTGTTAAAGTCTGAGGGAAATAAAAGGCTGTCAAGCTTGATGATTGAAAAACAAAGAACATTAAAACAGATCAAGTTCAGCCTGAATATCTCTGATCAAAACCTGCTAAATATGATGTACACTGATACAAAAAGGCTTTAAATGCTTCATTTATCCACTAATCTAACTAAATAAGGTTAACACAGCAACATGAGCATCAAAATCAACTTTCTAAAGTGTAAACGTCCCTAAACGTTTAGTCGACAAGAACCAGGGCAGAGAGAAACTGCCGCTTTAGTGCAAATCTGAGGCTTCAGTATGAAGACGTCTGAACGTCTGCATGTCCCTGAGAGCTGAACAGAAGAGGTTCACCAAATGTCAAGGACCACCTGCACTGTGACCAAGAGCATGATCTCTATCAATACATCTACACCTGTGTGTCCTCTGAGGCAACAACACCTTGAGTCAAAAAAATCTCTCCAGCTAGAAATGCTGACACTGAACAACTGTTGAAAGCCTGTTGGTAAAAAACAGACTGATGTCTACGTATGACCTACAGAAGCAAAACAAGCCATCAAAGAGAAGACAGATTATTCCTATTTGAAATGTTGAAGAGTCAAACAGAGCCATCTGCAGCATCCTGCCAACACAGCCTGTTTACATTTTCCACAGTGAGGAAGTGACGTGTGAATGTCGCACTAAGAAACAAACACTGCTGACCAATGAAAGGACTAAGATAAGACAGAGAGGTCATCAAGAGCCATGCAAAGAGACAGTTCCTCACTGAAGCTTTGAATGCATTTTTAATGTAAACTATTCCATTTGAAGGCAGCGTTTCCCTCTGTTTGATCTTCTCCATCACTAATCCACATTACTTTCAAGAACGAGTGAGCTGCAGGACTTAATCCGTCACACTGTCTTTCTGTAAACCTCCCTTGAAAATCTAATGCACTAAACTCACTCATGAAATCATGCAAAGAAAAATTAAAAAAGCTCCATAAGTTGTATTTTTAAAGAAAATCGAAATGGAAACACTTTTGTTTTCACCCCAGAATCATTTAAGTTTCATGGTTTGGTTTTGTTGCTCTGCTGCTCCAGTTCTGAAAAATGATGCAAAGTCAGTGAGTGTTAAGTTAACCTCCTGATCCTCGAATTTCAGATGTTCTTTTGAGCTGATTTTTGTTCTATTTTGGGTACAACACTGACTCTTACTTAAGGCGGTCAGACTTCAATAAGGTAATCTCAGAAAAGGAAGGAGTACAAGTACAGAGCTCTTAGCTTCTCTTAGCTAAAATCCAAAGCACATGGGATCTGAGCCTCCTGCACCCTGCTGGTTACAAAGAACCTGGAAGAACTACAATAACCAGGCTCCTCTGACAAATCTCTAAGCTCAGGTGAAATACTGAAGACATGATCTCATCTAGTTGTACGTCTAAAAAGACTGATGCTGCTTTCTGCTCTGCAGGTTTTGATCAGAGATGCTGAGTCAGGCTTTAGCAGCTTAAAAAAGACACACACACACACACACACCTCCTTCTCCTGACAAACACACCCACACACGCACTCACACACATGATAGCGCATTACTCAGACACTTTAGCGACCTCAAAGTTAACTGCCAGCTTTCTGTGCTTCCTCTTCGATGCGGAGCCGGGGGTGTGGCCTGCGGCTGGCGGGTTTTGTCGAGGTGGCGTGTGTGGGGCTGCCACGGCTGCTGTTGTTGAGGAGCCTGTTTCTAAGAGACCAGGGGTGGATGAGGAGGGGCCGCTGTTGGCTGTGTGTTGATGCAGCTGGTTGAATTTTCCACTCTGGGATTCAGTCTGAGGCTGTGATTGGCTGGAGGGCTGGGACTGGGCTCTCTGTGATTGGTTTTTAGCCACAGTGTGAGCGGCGCTGTAAAACTCTCGAGTTTCTTGATTCTTTTTGTTGGCTGAGACTCGCTTTTTCGTCACCTGTCAGGGTCAGAGGTCAGACAAGAGAGAGCTGAGTTTCTACATCTGTCAAATTTCTCTAACAGCATGAGAAACAACACTGACCATCCACAGAATAGAAAACGGAAACATGTCAGCACATATATGCCCTCCTTGTCTTTGTACATGTGTGCAAATCTACCTGTAAAGGTATAAACTGGTTGTGGGAGCCGATGGGCAGTGTCTGTGGAGCCTGTGGGCGGGCAGCACCAGGAAAAGATCCTGCTGCTCCGTAGAATGGCTGGTTTGGGTGGTGAGGAGGCAGCGGCATCCCCCACATAGGGCCGTAGCCTTGAGGAGGCATCAGTAAACCCCCTGAGGAAAAGAAGATGTACAGCTTTATTTAAACTGCTCTGTTACAGCAAAAACATGACAGGTTAAAGGTGGTGTAGGCAGGAATCAGGAAGCATCTTTTTTTGTGGTGTATACACGAAAAAGCTTTTAATATCAGTCTATAGCTATTAGTTATTGATGACACTTGGGAATATAACGATATCGCTGAGTTTTCTTATGTCTGTGTAGTCAACATTTTAAAATTTTGAGTGTCCCGCTCTTTCTAAATGTAAACAAAGCCATTCTCCGCCTCCCCCAACCTGGTTGGTTGTGAGGCGGACGCTGCTACCTCATGTTGTCAAGCCCGCCCCCCGTCCTCGAATAACGGTCACGAGCTCAAACAAAGTTAGCGTGCTACAATATCGGACAGTAGAAACCAACTACAAAGTATGCAAAATTGTTTGGCCTTTGGCCACGACTGCCAACACCAGCAAGAAAGTGAAAAAAATACAGGAGATTCTAGCAGAATAACTGGCGCTTAAAAAGGAGGTAGACCACCCAGACAAGAGCTAAGAAGCAGGGTCAACATCAATGGAGCATAAACGATGGGGGAGGCTTCGGGATCTCACGGACCCTGTAACTTTTCTGCTGGACATGTAAACTGCTTTAACAAAGTTCGCCAAGTGTCTGTAACAGAAGTGTTTCTTGTCAAACGGGACCTGCTGCGTGTTGTAGCGCCGCTAAACCGTTGACCTCGGGTCCTGGACTATGTCACTTTATCCTAGTTGTAGAAGTCCTGCAAACATTGTGTTTGCTGGTTGTCTGTTGGCATCTAAAGTAGCACCAATGCTTTTTACTTTCACATTGACTGGGCCCCATTTGTAATCATCTGAAGTATTTATCTGCATTATACCTGAATTTAATTAGAACATTACAAGCGAGCAGGAGTGTCTGTTTGTGGGCGGGGCTTGCTGGAGCAGCGAGGGAGGGGAGGGGAGGAGCTGAGGGGAAAACTGATTTGGAGGGGTAGTGTTTACATTCAAGATTTCTCCCAAATACTGGCACTTCCTCAGATCCTGCCGACTCACCTTTAAACAATTAAGTAGCAAAAATAAAATAAAGTGATTATTCGGAGGGACAACCAACCTTGTTGGTTAAAGACAGGAGGCATGGGTCCCATGGGTGGGGGTCGTATCTGACTCATTCCTGGGAACAGAGGAGGAGGCAGGGGGAAGCCCGATCCCACTGAGTTCTGAATGAGGACACAGAAAAGATGCCTTTACTGCAGATCAGCACAGAGGAGTCAGGTGAGCATTTTGTGTGGTGGGCCATCTAGCACAGCCGACAATGTGGTGGCAACTTGAATGTTTAACAATCCTGTCAAAGATTCAAACACTGATCTGTCAAAGTTATTCTTCCAGATGTTTTCATTTACTCCCTGTTTTTGTATGTATATATACACACACACACACACACACACACACACACACACACACACACACATGGATGGATGGATGAATGGATGGATGGATGGATGGATGAGATAGATAGATAGGATATTTTTATAACATTTTTATCAGTCCAGAGTGCTGAAGACAAGTACACTTGGATCTTTAACATTATTGGTTTGTCTTTCAACGTCTATCAAAACCACCCATCCACCTGCACACATAAAACTATTGTGTTTGTTTGTGTTGTACCAGTCTCTGAAGGGCAAAGAAGGCAGCGTTCTCCTTGGCATCATTTTCTGACTGGCACTGTGGACCGTGGACCATCAGCCCATTTGACAGCTTTACCTGACACACCACTGGACCCTGAGATGGAGGACAGAGATGGAGGGCGGGGTTAGTGAAGCTCTGATCTTTACACTGGTGGAGGAACAGGCAGGTGTAGTCATGTTACCTACAGAGAGCAGTGTTTGAATGCAGGTTTGCCAGTGTGTTACCTGTCTGTTGCGGATAAAGGTGAACTCAGGCTGTGCCATTCCTAACCCCACACAGACACACGTTAGCTCTGACACCTTACTGGTCAGCACAGCATTGGAGAGGTTAGCAGCAGTGGGAGGAGCTCCTCCACCATCAACATGTGGGTTATTCATATTGGCCGCTAGAGGAAAGAAAAGGAGGAAGACAGAAGAGAAAAAATGTAGCTGAGGTTGTTTAGAGTATTATGAGCCTTTCCTTTGGTTCATGGTGTAGTGATCAGTTTTGTACCTAGTTTCTTTGAGGATCTTCTTCTGTTCTGCTGGTGACCAGCATTAGAGGTCTCCTGGGTTTCTCCAGCACCATCAATCTTAAGCATCTCCTTCAGCACCAGAGTTCCCTTCTGCAACAAAAACAACATACACACACACACAAAGATTTAGATTAACCAGCTCCTCACTTAACCATGGCTGTCTGCGTTTTCTGTAGTTGATTTCAGCAGAACATTTCTAACTAGAAAATTCCGTCTGGGAAACATTGGAAGGGCGACTGGGCCTACATCATATACAATAGAGAAAAGTAATAGCACACCGATCCTGATCATACCACATGTTTTGATATATAATTTGCTCTACAACACTTAAAGCTGTAGGACTACCAGCGAATTGAAATTTGTCCAGGAAACACCAGGGCAGGAGTCACCTTTTTTTCTTTCTTCCTGAGACAGAAGTTTAAGTTCAGCTTGGTTCCCTCTCATTCTTTATAAATGAAGGAATAGGAGTATCTGCAGCTTTTGTTGGGCAGACTTTACAGCCTGACTATATTCAGATTCCATTGTTTCCTCTGTGCTGCTGTACAGGGGTGTTTCGAGACTTTTTGGTGAGGAGGCAGGACCAAGGCACCAACAAACAGGACACTGCATTATACTTTCTTAAATACTGTATTTAACTCTATTCTAAATGTATTTCAGAATAATTTGAAACTTGAATTCATTTCGGAGCAGTTTTTGGTCTAAACCATTACAAACTCTTACTTTACATGATAGCTGCTTATTTTTTTAGCCTTTCACAGGTTTATCTTCTATATGTATCTTATATAGATACATATATGCATCTTAGTCAAGCATTATAAGCTTGTCTTTGCTCATCATACATACCATGGCAAAGGACTGTGGAGACAGCGGGCCCTCTGATTGGCTGGGAGGTGGCTGTTGAGGGGCAGGAGGGGGTGCAGTTTGCTGGCTGCCTGTGGAAATCTTGAGGTTGGCTAGCAAGTCCTCGAACTCTGTTGAAGTCTAAGTGAGAAAAATATGTGTAAGGAGAAAGACGAGGAAGTTTGAAGACACAACTTAACACAAACACTGCAGTCTAAATTTTAAAACAAGTAAACAACTCTGTGTGTGTGTGTGTGTGTGTGTGTGTGTGTGTGTGTGTACAAGTGTGTGTGAGTGTGAGTGTGTGTATGCACCTTGTTGGCTGTGTTCTTTGAAGCGAAAAAGGAATTGACGTCCTCATTTTTCTTCAACAGCCTGATGCCGCCTGCTGGGGCCTGAACACACACAAGCTGGTGTTATAAGGGCCACAAAACAGAGCATGTAATGTGAGTCAAACACACATCAACACACTTGACCGTTTAACACACTGGTGCTTTGAAAATTTATCTCAAGCTCCTGAGAGCTCACCCGCTTTTTGGGTAAAGGTTCTACATTTATCATCAGCATCCAACAGGGGGACTCATGACCCTAATTAATGTGATTCACTCCATCCGGCAGTGTTATGGTTGATGGGAGTTCAATCTTTAATTAGGCAAAGTGCAGGAAAAAAGTAATAATAAAGCTGCATTTATATTTTACATGACTGTGTTTAAATTACAAATTATACATTAATGTTTTGTTATGTGGTTTTGTGATACCTAACAGTCCAATGATGGCACATGCACAAATACTTGTGTTTGCGTGTGTGTGTGTGTGTGTGTGTGCACTTACAGCTTTGTTTGGCTGCTGGTTATGGGCCTGCTGCAATTGTCCTTCCTACATTTGGAAAACAAATTTGGTCTTAACTTCGTTGCTCAGAACAAACAGTGACAGGTACATATTTCATAAACATTATCTCGATTACTCACTAACTACCATGAAGCCAAAGCTGATGAGTGTTTTCATTGGTTCAAACCTTTAGTAGCTCTTGACAGACAGTAGCTAATGCAAGGGCATAGAAGTTGTAGGTGTGTAAATCTTAAATATTCGAACTGTGTGTGTGTGTTTCTTGACTTTCCAATAGCTCTGTAGTACTCTGACCTGAATTTAAGCTAAAATATTTCCTCTTTCATGTTAGCTGACGTGTATTCAAACTCTCAGTTTCAGGCCTTCATTTCAGCAACTGTTTCTAAGAAGCCTCCTCCACTGTTACCATGCTACACTGCCATTATTGTGGAGGTAACAAGGGTTCCTCTATTCAGTATGTCAAGTTTGACGTACCAAATAGTCATACTGCTATGATTTGCACCTAAAATCTGACCAGGGAAGTTTAAAAAAAAGGGAAAAATACCCAGAAATTGCAGAAAACAAGTCACTGTTATTTTATTGTGCTTCACAAGGTACAGCGCAACGATTGGGGCAAATTGCGTAGCTCTTAAAAAAGTCTCTGGTGACTTTTTGAACAGGTTCTGAACAACTTTATGTATATCAGAAAAGAGATGTTAGATGTGGGTCTGAATGATCAAGTTACTGGTTCATTTGTAAACCTCTGGGAGTGAGTTTGACAAATGGGAGGCCTCATAACAGTTGTTAATAAAGAAGTAGGAAAAATGTTATCATGTGATAACTGACAGGTTGTGAGTTAAGACATTTGGTCATTGATTCCTGATCTACAACTCAGCTGATAACTATGACGACAACATTGAAATAAAATAACTTCTCAGCATAAAATTACACAAATACATAGACTTACGTTGTTGTGCCAGTGAGCTGGAGGTTTTTGAGGGGGGCCAGAGGACTGCAAAGACTGCCAAACGTTGTTGTACTCCTCTTTACTCTGGATGAAGATGAAGGAGAGAGAGGTCAAAGGAGGTTGCATGGTTTAAAAAAAAAAAAAAAAAGGGGGGGGGGGGTAGCTGTGAGAGGAGTAAATATGTGGGGGACCTGCTTTTACCTTTGCCTGCTGTCTCTGGATGAGACCCTTCGAGGGGGAGTTCCTGTTGCCTTGTGTGGCCGCTTTCCCTACACCCTTATTGTTGTGCTACAGGTGTCGAGTAAAAGACATAAAGGCAGAGTGGTGAGTTTTCAGATAGACAACATGAGGTGTGAGAGTTTCAAAAATCATGCCTCTCACTTGTGTGGGGATGAAAGGTGAACGTGGAGAGTGGTTCAGGCCGGCCAGCTGACGCTGTGTGTTGAAGTTTGCGGCTGTGGCCGGCTGAGGTTTGACGATAGCGGTGAGTTTGTGGGAAACTGGATCCACTCGGGCTCCGTGGGAAAGGTTGATGAGAGCACAGGGAGGGAGGCGGTAACAACGTGGTGATGTACACCTGAGGACACAGGTGAACAAGATAGCAGACTAGTCAGCAGTGTTTTCAGAGCTGGTTCTGGTTTTTACTTGAATAGTGAAATGATCAGTACTGAGCTGCTGTTTGTCAAGTCAAAGATTTCCCCAGTACTGACCAAAGATGAAACAAGATGTAGTGCACTCTGGGTTTGACTACAAGATTACCTGATGTTGAGACCTCCAGCAAATTCTTCATCAAAAAGCACTTCATAGAGAACTTCTGCCTCGCGCTCCGCTGAGAACACAATGACACAACAGTTCTAGGTAACCATGATGCAGTCTGTCTATTCTTTTCTTTGCTTATAGCTGTGTTTCATTTTGACAAATAAGAAGAAATCAGTTAGTCCTAACCTCCTTTAATGCCGATGATTGTTCCTCTGAGTCCCAGTGGGACAGTGAAGCTCTCCCTGGTGTTGACCACTCTGTCAAACAGACGATACTCTGCATCCGGGTCTGGAACCACCCCCTGCTGCTGCTCCAAAGGCTACACAAATACATATAAACATGATCAATACCTACTGACATAGATCAATGACTCTTCCTTCCCAGGGCTCGACAGTGCGGCCGTTTCACTCACATTTGCGGAAAAAAAAAAGATGTGTGCGAATTGTAAAATGTATTAGGGCCACATGTGCGCATAAAAAAAATCAGTTGAGGCAGCAAATTATTTTTCATGCAAATACCGCGGCGAAGTTAGTTTTAGGTTGGATATTCGACAGACATGCACCACTGATCTACCAATGTCTTCTCACTCTCCATAACCAGGAATGGCAGGAGCAGTGTGGTTAAATCTACACCGCAATGAAGTTGGTTTTAGGTTGGATATCCGACAGACATTCACAGCGGATCTACCAGTGTCTTCTCACTCTCTATAACCTCTATAAAGCAACAGCAGCGCTGTTAAATCTACTCAGCACCCTCGCTGTCAACGCCGGGTGTTGAATAAGGGACCATCAATAAATTACTGGTTGATTTTCTCAAAAAAGGCTGTTTTCCTTCAATAGCTGCCATGTCATGTGACCAACTGACCTAAAATTGATTTCAAATAATAGTACTTATGTCGACTAACAAGACAAACATTATTTGATCAATTATCATTGTGCCCCCAAAGTTATTTTGTGTGCTTCTTACTTTTTCAACTTAAGAGCACATGTGCTCCTTCAGAGTCAAGCCCTGCTACCCCTTTTTTAAGGTATATTAGAATGTATATCCCTCTTTTTGGATTCTAAAAACTGCCTGCTAAGATCAAGACTGTTTTCATTTATTGAGATTTTTTTCCACCAGACATTTAAGCAGAGAGGATTGTGCAAACTGATCTGAAAGAGATAAAAAGCTCTCACCCTGAAGAGGAGATGAGGCTTGACAGTCACACGGACCTTCTTGGTGCTCCTCTTCACCTAAGGACAGGATTGTTAGAGTGAGGCTGACAAACTGAGATGTGCGTAAGAACACTCATTACTATAAATGCCACTACTGGTGAGTGGAGTGTGCTGCAGTAGGAGGTTCTCTGTGTCACAGTCACCTTAGTTTTTTCAACTGCCTCCTCGATTTTCTCCACAATGGCGGAGTCCAGCACCTGCAGGTCACATGACGCTCTGCTGACGGAGCTCACTGGGTGACTTTTCAACCATGCAGTGATTTCAGCGACTTTCTCTGCCCTGGAGAGTTTGTCAGTGTCAGAGGTTTATAGTAAACACTGTGAAATCGTCTGAATTAATTCAGGTCAAATGAAGCCCAAATGAAGAGAAGGTGACAGTAAGAGGAAAAAAAGGAAATCTGTGTTACCCGTTCTGCTCCAGTCCAGGCCAGATGTCGTCTTCATAGAACACATCATCATGACTGTTTCTGGACACAGTGTTAAAGACCTCTGAAAACCTGTAAAAAAACATTACTTAAGTCTGATGTTGAACCAAGAAAGAGGGGTGGAGCTACTGTCTTGTGCGCACACGCAGGCACGCACGCACGCACACACACATGCACATATATACAAGCACAGGCACCTGTCCAGGTATTCAGCCAGCAGTTCCTCCACAGCAGCAGAGTAGAGCCACTCCTTCTCCGTTTTTTTGGTGTATCCAGGGACCTCCTCATTCTTCTTGTTGAACTTCAGGTTAAGACCAACGTTCGCTTTTTGCTCCCCACAGGGACTGCAGACAGGGACAGTTTTTTTACACAGAGTACTTGGAGATTCATAAATACTGGTCCCACTTACACACTTACATCCAACCAGATATGAGCTTTAAAAAGAGCATCAGTAAAAATGTTGTTTCTCATAACCCGCAGCAGTGTCCAAAGGGGGTTCTGAGGACTTACTTCTTCTTCGAGCCCCTGCCGATGAAAATGCTTCCAGAAAAGCGAGAGACCAGGTAGCTGGTGATACCAAGACGAGATGCGAGAACATATCCAGGACTGTACTTCACACAGTACTTCTACAAAACACAAACACAGGACCATAGTATGCTTGTGAAGAACAACACACACGCTAGGCCTGGACGATATAGAAAAAAAGCATATCGATAAAAAATAAATCATATTGATCGATATCGATAATTATTGATATAATTATTATAATTATTTAACATATGTTTTAATTGCAGCCCTGGATGTTATATGCTATTGCTTAATGACCTACTTTTAATAAAGAACACAGAAGCACTGAATTCAAATTCAAACCTTTATTCAACCACCTTTTTTATTTTACCACAACTGAAAGTTTTTTTAAAAAAGAACTAAAAAAAAAAGAAATCAACTTAAGGGGCCTGAGTGATGTCAGTAAATACTGACAAACATAAAGACTAAAGTGACCAGAAAATCTGATAAATAAATATTTAAATAGTCTTTTGATGAAAATAAACAAAACAAACAAATATATAAATAAACAGAATAGCTTTAGGTGGGAATAACATACTACCAGTTTTAACTGTGTGAGAAACTGCCCACAGCCTGGTGTCTGAACACTGAAATATTTCTCCCGGGGTCGGGAGATTTATTTTTTTTAATTATCATGTGATTGACTTGATACGCAAACTGAGCACGAGAAGCAGGACTTATCCACGCCGGTGTTGTGTCGTAGAATGCACCCCTGCCGAATGCACCCCCTGCTAGTAGCCATGATCCAAATACTCGCGTCTTTGTAAAATATGAGCTCATTTTCTTCCACTTTAAGAAGCTAATGAGTGGACGGGATGCAGGGGTGCATTATTCTCACCTTTTCAACCCCTGACCCATTTTCATGCCTGAAGCGCTGTGTTTGAGAAATACTTGCGGCCGGGCACTTCATATCGCGGGTCGAGAGTGGCTAGAAGCTGGTCGAAGCCAGGCTTTTCAACGGTAGTTATTGGCAGTATGTCCCTCGCTATGCAGCATGTTACTGCATGGGTGATGTCCTTATGCCGCTCGGACGCTTTGTCGTATTTTGGCAAGAAACGAAGTCCAGTTTGGTCTGCTTCACTTGCTTTGTGCTGGTGCTGGCAGCGGTTCCAGAGGATTCCTCCTCCGACGACGTGGAGCCGCGGCGCGGCCGACACAGCTCGTACTCCTGCGGGTGCGACCGGTTTAGATGGTAAAACAAGTTGGTTGTGTTACCAGACTTGGTTTTTACTAATTCTCTTCAAATTTTGCAAACGACCGCTGTTCGCTTTTTGTCAGACTTCTAAAAACCAAAACATTGCCATGCTGGTGAACTACTGACAATGTCCTCCGCTTCTCCTTGCTGTATCATTTTTTCTAATACACGTGCTGTCTGTTGTGGTTTGATAGGGGCTGGGCTTGGTGCCGTAGCGTACCTGGGTCTGCGTTTGTGATTGGTTGGGAGGAAGTAATGACTGTAGCAAAAGCTACATGATAGGCTATGATGAAAAAGAAAGGGAAACTGTGTTTTTCTATCGAACTTTTTATCGACCCGTTTTTTTTCTATCGCAGCACACGTCTATCGATCGATATATATTGTTATCGAATTATCGTCCAGCACTAACACACGCACCTAAAAACTACAAGGATCACCATCAATCCTCGGCTCAAGTCTTAGAGTGTATGCCTGTGTGTGTGTGTGTGTGTGTGTGTGTGTGTGTGTGCGTGTGTTTCTTACATGCTGGTTCTGGATTAATGGCTCCAGTTGTGGTTCATGGGGGACGTTAAAGACCACCCGTACTCGACCGTCTTTGATGACATCACTTGAATCTTGCACCTGTTGATTAAGCGCCAAAGAGAGAGGGGGCACAGGAGAGGAGATTTCAACAGGGCTACATCTTTTACTGAGCAGACTGGTGAAAAAAATCACAAACTCTTTACTTATGTCACACACTTGTCTTACATTTAGAGACCCACTTCGGAAAAATTTAGGAGGACAGTAAAATGTTGATATAAACATATTTTGATGGTTTTCAAGTCAATTAGAAGCAGAAAAGTGCTCACATACCTCACCCATGGCACCATAGTATGGGTTCCCCACCATAAAGACAGCTGTGCCAAGAGGGAAGAGCTCGTCCAGGCTCTTGAAGCAGTTTAAGGACGAGTAAAAAGCCTTGATGTCCTGGGAAGACAAGAGGAAAACAGGATGCTTTTGAATAATTTAGTCAATACTGATGAATGTGTCCATCATATGAAGAATCAATGGTCGTAAGTATTATCTTCTAGTTGTAAGTATTATCTTGTAGTGTATTTAGTGTATTTGTGTTTTGGATAAAAGTTGACATCCATGGATGTCTACTTTGGCTTTAGAAAACTGCAATTAAACTTTTATTTTTCCCATTTTCTGACATTAAGTCAACAAAAAAAGTGATTGATTTATCATTATCAACAATCAAAGCTATAGCAAACTGAAGTCCTAGTCCAAGCGTCAGCTATGCCTCGATGCTTTCAAACCAACTTTACTTTTAAATCAAAATCTACAACTGTACTTTCTCCAAAATAAACAAAACATGTGAAAATGCTTGGGTCTGGTGAAGTGAGCTGTACTGTTGACATAGAGCTTTGTACAAAAACCTCAGGTTCAGCAGAACTGAAAACACATGAAATGTGTCAGAAAGACTGTCAGTAAGCTCACACAGATCCACAGGGCTTTGTTTCTAACTGTCTAACTTTCCAACTGTACCTCAGGTGTTTTGGGGGGTTACTGTGTTTTTGATTTTTCAATACTTTGACCTTGTATATGGGCATACCTTCACAACAGTCTGGTAGGCAAAGGGCAGGACCTGTTTGGCCCATTGTTTCTCTAACTCCACCACCCCGTTGGCTTTAGGGACATACTTCCGTCCTGTCAGCAGCTGGCCGTACAAAACCACCGATGTCTCATTCACTGTGATGCCTTTTCTCTTCAGGTAACTACAAGAGAAAAACAGGATTTCGCTTACTCAAAGCAGTGTTCACTTTACCGAGCATGTTTTAAAGAAAGACCAGGTCTTGTGATTTTCATACGGTACAAAAATATGTTGCAATTGGATAAAATAATATTTCTTTAAAAATAAAGAAAAGATAAAGTTTCCATTCATAATCAGGTCTGTTCACAAAACACAGTCATGTATTTTATATCTGTGTTTCTTACTGTTCAGAGATTCCCTGGACATCCTTCACCCAGTCCTTCTGCTCTTTATCAGACAGACAGTTGACTTTGACGGGAGGAGGTGTGGAGGGTCTGTCATACACTTTTTGTACACCTGGTGGTTCCTCCAGAGAAAACCTGCCAAAGAAAAAAGTTCAACTGTAAATGCCCATGCATTTTCTGCACTGTTATAACAAAAGATCTGTGTGTATGCAAAAATAATCTACATGGTATGTGTTAAAAGGGAGTTTTTTTCCACAGCATATCACAGAATTTGCTGCCTCGTAGTGGCATACAAACACGCACAATAAAGTATATTTTAAAGTTTTGATCTTTATTTTGTATTTTTCAGAGACAGTCAACACACGCATTAATGTGATATGAAATGACAATTTTCTTTAATCTCTCAAAATGTTCATCATTCAGCAGACTGGATGCAACCAGATAGTGTTGGGTGAACAAAATCTTATATGGTATGAGTAATTTCATATCACTGTAACAGTATATATCACGTATGTTTTCCCCCCTGTAAATTTAATTAATGGCTTAAAAATAACCATACAGTTGCATTTGTTCATTTTCCTTTTATTTTTAAACTCGGATTTGTTTACAAAAGGAAACAAAATGCCAGACCAGTCTGGTGACTTTTTATCATATGGCGTACCATTGGTGAAAGACTCTGCCAGGCTCTTTTGTATGAGCGGACCTGCTGCAACTTTAGTTTTTGGTGCAGCAGGTGTGCCACGCATCAACAGAAACGCACCCAAACGGATGCGCTCCGGCTTTCCTGTTAGATAGCACAGACGACTCCACCCTGACTCAGAGAGTTGCAGCACACATCTGCTCTCTCTCTTTACAGCAAAATTTCTACCGGTAGACACTTTTATACCGTCAGACAGTATATACCGTCATAATGCGCAACACTACAACCAGATAATTAGTAAACACTGGGTTGTTTCGCGGTGCGGTAACCTTACTTGCATATAAGCTAACATTGTACCTCACTGTAAAGTAGATGCATAGATCCACTAGTAAACAAAAACAAAGAGCATGGCTATACAGCTGTTCATTTAAAAACCTTTCATCTCTGAGATTTTACACCTTTTTCACTTTGCTACTTTTTTACCCCTAGGTCTAAAATGTGTGGTTTCAAGGGTATCATGATTCATGCAAGTCACCTTTATAGGTACAAAAATAAGGATAAATATGGATAATTTCAGGGCAATCACATCTCCAATAGATATAACAATAAGAAGGAAAGTTTGGAAAACAGAGAAATTATAAAAGATGTTGTGCTTTGCGTCGGATATTTGAGAAATGGGTTTTTTGATATTTCCATTTACCCTCTTTGATTATAACAGCAATGGTTCAGTTCTATTTTACTCCACACATGGACAAGCGGGTAGGACGTTATTTACTGAGTAGTTACTAAGTACTACAGCCAATACATATTTTCTCTCATGTCACAGAAACTCCCGTCATAACCGCAGTCATAGTATGGTTAAAGTGACCTGGAGTTGTTTCTTACCTGACTTCTCCATCTGACACTGCAATGATTCGTGCCTCCTCTAGATGCGGCCAGTTGACAAACACAGGCTTCCCAAGGACCTGTACTGCAACATCATCACAGACCTGAAGACATAGGAGAAAAACCAAAGGCAGGAAAAAAGAGAAGAGTAAATTTTAGTGAATTTCAAAGAAGATAAGAAAAAAGCAAAACTCACTCTAGTTTTTGTAAATTTCATCACTCCTAGCGTTGACACTGAATTTTCAATACCTCTCCACAGTACTTCATTAAAGGGTGTTTGATTAATCTCTGTTTGGTGATGAGAATATTTGGATTTCTACAAGATACAGATCCTTATCATGGACACATGTAGGTCGAGATGATGACTATCAAAAATAAATGCTGTGACATCTCTTGATCTTTGGTGCATTATGCTAAGGTTAAGTATCCTTGGATTAGAAAAGAGTAACGCTTCTGAAAAACCACAGACACACCACTGCAATCCACCGAGAAACTGCTGATATCCTCAGGGTTATCTAGCTCTGTACTTTTTCCTGCTAACATCCTCTTGTCATTCTTGTTGATCACTGAGTCTGACAGAAAGATTACCTGATTACCTCAGCCTTTTAATGTTTTAAATTATGGCTCAAGGCAAGCTGTGTCTTCGATCTTCTCAATGAGATGAGGAATGAGAACATTTCAAGTTTTATTCCTTCACATTTTGCTTTCTTGTTATACTCTTGTACTTTGTAGGCACTTCGCTCAGCCTGTTTCCACTGTGCTATGTAGATAATTGGACCTAAAACTTTGAATTTGCCTAAATTGGCTGTCGATTTTTACATTGTTTCAAGAAGGTTTAAAGTAAAAAGTGACTCTAACAATTTTTTTCTGTTTTTCACTGTAAATGGGACCATCATGTACAAAATCAGGTTAGAAGTTAAAAAGACTTTTAGAACTAAGAGGTTATTTTCACCATTCCTGTAATATTGCAAACTTGTCATTAAATAGTTACAAAAACTCATTTTCTATTAACCTGACTTAAGATAGTTCAAAGCCACTGATTTTGTAATAAATGATGTTTTATTCGGAAATATGTCAGTGGACAAGACCTCCATCTGCAGTGCTTTTATAAAATGAGATGAGTAATAACAAGAGAGAGCTCACCGGATCTGCTTCTTCCTTGTCCATAAGGATATCAAGCATCATGTTTTCTCCTCTGCTGCTCTGCTGGAACACAACCACTCCACTCTTCTTCTTGTAAAACTGTGTGAGAGTGAGCGAGAGGGTGAGAAAATCTACCTCTGAACATGGAGAGAAATTTAAAAAGCTGAAACTTTCATTCAAATTTGAAGACATGTCAGTGTTTTCAATAATGATGATAAAAAAGTGATTTAACAATTACACAGGGTTACATAGTTTCAGTATCAAACTGGTTAAGCTGTGGGGCTGTTGTTTACTGATAATGTAAAGACCACAAACATACACACATTCACACCTTGTGTCTGATGTGTTGGAGAGTTGGGAAACCACAGAAGTACAGAGCTGAGCGGTCAACTGTTCTGCTGCGGTGGTTCATCTGCACATGCCAGGCATCCATGGGGATGTTTGCTCGACTGTAATAGAAAACGATGATGGTTCATATGCAGTGAACTATACATTCTATGGGAGCTGAGGGGAAATGTTTGAATGTTAGAAGAGCCAAAACATCGACACATTAAGTTTTTTTTCTCTAAACTTTGCACAGCTCGACAACATCCATCACAGATTAGACACAACAAAAACACATGAACTCAAATATTACTTGTAATCATCGGCTTCTACTGTGTGTTTAAGACTGATAAAGTCAGATTAAAGCTCACGAGAGAGAGAGTAGAATAAGAATATGTTAATAGTAGGGATGTAACGATGCATCGCGAGACAGTTAAAAATCAATACAAATGTGTAATGATTGGCTGCAATGAAAAATGATTAGCGGTTACCTTTTTAGAGAGTGGAGGGTGCATTCATGTGATCAACGTCATTATGTATTTGGCGTTGTGTGTTACTGATTCAGACAGAGCGAGAGAAATGACGGCTGTCACAAATGATCTCGAAATCGAGGATGCACAGACCAGTCTGGGTATGTTTGAATGTTATTCAGAACAGCAACCGGGGTGGCAGCCACAGTCCTCAGCACAGACCTCTGGTAAAATGCCTGTGACATTGATTCACTGTATAACTCATAAATCTGTGATGCTTAGGACACTGTAAGCATTTTTACTGTGCACTCACACCAAGCACGGATAAAATTATTTACTCGTTTAATTCGCGCATATCTAGAGGTGCATATGAATAGTATTTACTCGCTTTATTCAATGAATGAATCGCTCCATTCGTGCGGATATTTTCTGGTTAGCGGAACCCAATTTATTTGTTTATTTTTTGTTGTTTTTTAATGTACTTTAATAAGAGGATGTATGCATTGTATTACACCATTTACTTGACCTCAGAGAAATAAAAAGAGGGTTCTCTTTAATTTGTTAAAGATAAGAGACAATATAATTTGTAGTTGCATATCTAAATATTAAATGTTTTTTACATATGCATTCATTGCATAGTTTGTTTTTAAATTACATCCTACTTCAGAAATGTTTTTTCTTTATTTCTGAGAATTAATTTTTTAGTCATGATTTGTCAGCACTAATTCTGTAAAAAAAATAGTGAGAAAGTCGTATCACCAATCCAGCATTGGAAATCGTATCAAATCCAGAGTTGGGTGTATCATTACATCCCTAGTTAATATCAATATCAAAGCAGGGTATATGTGTGTGGAAGTACCTGACATGACAGTGGATGATGTCTGGGAACCTGTGCTGCAGGATGGATATGTATGTAAAGTCAACCTCCGGGTCATATGAATAGACTGCACACTCAGAGTGACGGTTCCTGGCCTTCTCTTCTTTTGTCAGATTGTGGTTACAGGGCTCCATGGCTGCGAGTAAGCATCGCTGCTCAGCAAAGACACAGAAAATATTCATGTCACACATTTTTAAAGTTGTGTGTATTTGTGTATGTGTGTATGTGTACCTCGTCTATGAAGGGAATAAGGACCACAGCCTCCCATTCCTGCTGCTTTCCATTCAAGTCCGTTTTGAAGTCAAGAGGGTAGTACTCAATGATGGGAGAGCTTTCACTGGTCATTAGGTGCTGAAACATCAAAACATTAAGTTAATTTGGATCCTGTAACACCGCTTCTTGTTACAGTTTTGACCATTTGAGATAGTGTAGGGAGGTATGGTGGTATATACCGAGAGAAGGAGGGGAAAGGCGTGGAGTGGGTTTAACACAGCCAAGACCTGTTTTCGCAAATCACATTAGCTCCTCTCCTTACCATTAAATCCGCCACCGGCGAGGCGTACAATTTTCCTGAAGTAGTCAAAGAGATCAAGAGATGTCTGAAGACAGCAATGCCACACAATGGCAAGAGAAGGCAGCCCCTCAACAAGTGTTGCTGTAAGGGCTGCAGAGCGCTGCACATTCTCTCATATAAGCACAGATGGATTTGGTGTGTGTAATGTAGTACCACTAGACCAGCTTTGCTCCACCTGCACTGAAAGCTGACCAGGTTTGAATCGGTGAGCTTTCAGCGCACTTTCTATGCTGCCGGTGAACTCGAAGATGTCACTGGGCTAGCTGATTCTGTCGACACCTCCCCCTACCGCACCTTCACACCAGTTTGGCAGACCTCAGTGCGCCTCAGTCTATGAAAATACCAAACTGGCTGTGCACCGGGCTCCACCAGACGAAAATACCACTGCGTGGGGTCCGCCACCCTTTGCCACGCCACCGGCGGGCATGAAGGTAGAGCACAATGTGTAAAGGTCTGTGCTCACTAACTGGAAAGCCGGAACACATCTGTTTGGGTGCTTTTCCATATATTCACCAGTGTGTCGTGTGGAGTTTGTTCGCCCTGTTTGATTGGTCAGGTTTGGGTGCGCTCCCTATAATCACCAGCAAGTCCAGCATAGTTGGCATAGTTTTGATGAAGAAGAAACAGTTTCACTAGTAGGGTTAGGTTAATTGGCCACTTCCAAATTGCCCATAGGTGTGAATGTGAGCGTGAATGGTTGTTCGTCTCTATATGTCAGCCCTGCAAAGAAACTGGCGACTTGTCCAGGGTGTCTCCTGCCTTCGCAGGCTCCATGGTAGAAAATGGATGGATGGATGGATGGTGGTAGTCATGGTGGACATGGAGATTAGTGGCAGTACCGAGCAAACAGAGGCAGTCAGACCCACCCAACATGAGGAAGAGAAGGAGGAACTCGTTCCAAAAATAATAATCCATATAATAAAAAAATCACCAGACTGTTCAGGCATTTTGTTTGCATTTGTAAACAAATCTGACTTCAAAAATAAAAGGAAAATGAACAAATGCTACAGTATGGTTATTTTTAAGCCATTCATTAAATCTACAGGGGGAAAAAAACATACTGTGATATGTACTGTTACAGTGATATGAAATTACTAGATTTTGTTCATACCACTCAACATTAATTTGAGATTTTTCCACGTGTCCAACATTTGTTGCACTCATGCCATGTGAAGAATGTTCATACACCATACATACTTTAATAGTATATTTGAAGGGGAGTAGATTACCTTATAACACTCAGGCAGCAGCTCCATGCTGGCTGCAGGCAGGACTGCTAACAGCTGCTGGAAAGGCATGAAGGGTTTTCCAAGGTCAAAGGTCAACTTCAACCCGGATATATTCTTGATGTCGGACAAGAATGGAGCGTAGTGGTAGGGGTAGTACCTGAAAAAAAAAGCCTCTAATTCAAAGACTGCAGAGAGTGGATGGAAGAAAATCCAGGAAAACTGAGAAGAGTGTCCTGACAGCTATTTTGAACTTGCTGCATGTAAAATGTTCTGTGAAAGTTGGTGAGGAGCAATTCATTCAAGACACAATCTATATCCTACAGGAATCTCAAATTAGCAGAGACTAAGTTCTTCTCAAAAGTAACATAAGAAATAAAAGTTCTCACCAGCTCCAAGACTGGACCCCTTTGTAATAGTAGTGAAGGATCCACTGAATACCTTCCACATAGCACTTGGCCTGTGCGGCTAGAAACTCGCTGCAAATATGAGAATAAAAACATTGATTGGGGATACTTGTGAATAAGAAACCAGTGTACAATCAACACACAATCTGCAAAGACCAAGAGCTTTCAAACATATTTTTTGAGTTTGTGTGTCAGTTTTTCCTCATCATATTCTTTTCTATCTATTTAAGCGTTGACAAAGTGAGACAGAACTAAAGCCCCTTCTACATCTGCACTCTTGTTCATTTGTGGGAAAATCTCCAAATAGTCTGCCTCTGAAGTCTTCTGAGGTTTTAATGCACATGTCCCTTGCAGTGTCAAGTCTCCCTGTTGGACAGGGGTCTAAAGAGGCAGGACACAACATGAGAAGAGTCTCACTTGTCTCCTGACATCAACACCCATTGCCACTTGATTTCTTTTACCCACTGGTGAAATTTACATGGGCAGCTCACTCCAAATATTTTGCATGAATGTGATAAATTAAGGACCCTCCCTTGAGCATGTTTGAAGGGGTAGATTAGCTCTTGAGAATTTGGCTTAAAATCATGTTTTTATTGAACTGGTTTATACCCCCCTGTATTTACTGTGATCCCGCATCAGTGTTTTCTTGTTTATGTTGGTTGTCTGTTTTTACTGTACAGCACTTTGGTCAGCATTTTGTTGTTATTTAATGTGCTTTATAAATAAACTTAGATTGGATTGGAAGAAAACCAGGAACATATAGAGGACAGATTTGAACCTGACATGTATCCAAAGTAATACCTGCATGCTGAGCTCCCTCTGTCTGTTAAATTAACCAGTCCAGCACTTAGGTGGACACAGCTTTATTTATAGTCATTTACTTAATACCTACAATAGTCTGTTGCTGTCTTTGAATCAGTTTACGTATTGTTGTGCAGTAACCTAGTAAAAAAGTCTGCAATTAGGAATTATAAAAATCTTCTCTAAGGAGTTGTTACACACACTTAACCTGTTGCATTCATGCTGATATAAACCTCAAAGCTGGTTTTAAAGTTAGTCTCTCATCTGTGAGCTGTGTATGATCATTCTGGTTTGATGCACAAGAGTCTTCTGTGGTATATGCTAACTCCTGTTTTACGCATTTGTATCCAAACACTCACTCAGAAACTACATCCACGCCTAGTTTGGTCATGTAGTAGGTGCGCTTGTACTGTCTGAACTCAGTCTCAAACATATCGTCCTCCTCTTCCTCATCATCTCCTGCTGATCCTTTGCTGCCCCCGGTCACTTTTTCTGATGTGGTGAGAGCTGCCAGACAAAGGGATGAGTCCTACACACACAACAAGTCATGTAGCTGTTAAGACAGTGATAGGTTTCTGAATAAACATCAATAGCAGGAGTTTGTATTCATAAATATTCTGGCATCCCAGCAAACCTCATTCTTGTTGGAGTCTAAGCTGGCAGCTTCCTGTTCTGCAGCCAATCCGGCGGCCTCGTTCAGATACTTATTGCCAACTTTGCTCTCGAACCACTTTAAATCCACAAACACTTCACTGAAATGTTCCCTGTCAAACTGTGGGGAAGAAGGAACATTTTTAGATCAAAGTTCAATGGTTGACGCTCTATGAGTAATAAAGAGTACATTTCAACCCAAATAAGTCAACTTTTTTTCTTCCGCAATAAACTTATTTCCAGACTAAACTGCTCAAACAAAACAATGACTTATTTACATGCACACAATAATCCTGAATTCATCTGAATAATGGCAACATTCTAACCACTTATTAGTCTTGAAAACACCTTATTAAGATCATAGGCTGAGGACTAAAAACTTAATGTAAACACAATAGTCAGAAAACACTCCTCCACAAAATATGATGTTGCATCTGTGTATGTTCAGTTTGCAAGAAATTTTAGCAGTTGATTTGTTTATTTGAATATGATAACATCATATCATCATACAGAACTAAACACAGCGTAACATATTAATATACAAAGACATAACATAATTTGACTATTATTTCCAAACACTGCCTTCTGCTGTTGTTGAGGATGTGAGTCAGAATGAGGATTTTCATCAAATTATGGTGAATAACAACAAAACACTGTGTGGACGCTGCATGCAAAGTAAAGCAGAAAAGAGTGCACGGTTTATTTGAGCCTTACAATGTTCCCGGTTTATTTGGAAGAGTCAAATTAATCTGCAAACAGCATTAAACTCTTTGCTCAACCCTCTGCCAGGCATACAAACACCTTATTTTCAACAGGTTATTCAAATGTACAAACGGCTACCATAATTTCAAAGACCTAAAGTCTGCTTTTTAAAGGTGCCCGGTTGGAAGGAGTTATGTTCTTTTTTTAAGGCTGACATTGTAACTCTCGCTGTTGCTGTTACCACCAAATACAGCTGATAACAGCAATGCAGGATCTTGTCTTACCTCAGCAAGCTTCTCCAGGTACTTCTCAAAGTTTCTGAGGTTTAGATGGCCGTGCTCGTTCAGATAACCTGAGTTAGAAGAAAAGATTTAGACCAGATCTCTAAGCTATGATTTCCGTGTGTGGATTATTTCACCGGCTGGACCAAAACCAGCAGTGCTTTAAATAGCTTTTGAATTACAGTACATAGAAAAGTACAAAAACATTTTGGAAAAGTGAAACATTCAGATGTGCTTTTTATCCACCACATAAATAACTGTTATTATTTATTTTTTTTAATCTTGTGTCTCTTACCGTCCAGGTTGGGCAGAACACTAATATAGGTCTTGTACAGCAGCGGTAAAGCATCATGACTGATGTGAAGATGAGGGAGGTGAGGGATGAAATCATTTCCTACTAAGAAGCCCATTAGAATCCAGTCATCTATTATTCGCTCCAGGTCATAATCATCGCCAAGATGATTCTGAAAAACACCATCAAACACAATCAGGACACATACTGAATGCAGTTAAACTCTCTGAAGTTTAAACTAAGACTGCCAAGCTTGGAAATAGACTTTCATTCTCCATTTAGTTACACATGGTACTAATGCTGCCATTAACTTCCTGCATTAATAATGTGGCTTACCCTGAGTTCAGAAAACTCGTAGTCAATATACTCCCTCATCAGAGACAAGTGGAGCAGATGAAAGGTGGTCTCTTCTGGAGCGGTTATTCTGGAAAAAAAGAAAAGAGCAGAGTTCACTGAACAGAAGAGGAAATGACTGAGCAGATGTTCAAATGACATGTAAAACTTAAAAGAGGAAACTATTCAAAAACTCTGATGAATAAAATAAAAACCTTTTTTGGGATTTCTTTCCCCCAAAGCGAACCTCCTCTCTGAGCAGTGAGAAGTTAGGTTCATGGCTGGTTAAACCCAACATTATCTACAACACAGAACAAAAAAAGTGAGACAATAGGAATGTTTGAGCAATCATACACATCCCTGTCTAAATCTATGGGACAGAAACTGTACCAGGTCAGCGTCCAGACCATATAGACAGTGTCGGGTGTTGGGGTTGTGACCGGGCTTAGCATTCTCAGAGCGAATAAACTCCATGATCTTATGTTCTCCCTCTCCTGGAGTCTGTCAGGAAAAGAAACAAGAATGCAGGACAAGAATAATGGCTTAGGTTGTCACAGAATCACAGTCACATGGACACTATTTCCTCCAAGAAACCTCTTCATCTTTAAAACAGTGAACCCACCTCATGACCTGACAGGTAGACTTTGACGTTCTGCCACAGCTTGTCAGTGGAGAGCTTGTTGTGGACAAAATATTTGAGCTGCTCCTGAAGTCTTGCCATGAAGTCAGTTCCTGGAAAGATGATAAGTGATTTAAGGAGTTTCAGACAACTTTATTAGAGGAGTCAGAATGTATTTCATTAATGTCGTCACATTTTTGAAATACATTGATGCTCAAAACAACCAGACAAGAAAAATGGAAAGTTGAATAGATTGAGCCAAACCAATCTGCCTGAGAATCACTAATATATAATCTCTGTCTTACTTGAGAAATAAAGTGAACTTCCTTGATCTCTTCAACAGCATTAGCAGATGGCAACCACAGAGTCATGAAAAAAAGATTGACTATGAAGAATTATGACTAGACCTTTACGCTATGTTAGTTTGCTTTAACTCCTGAACGGTTTTTATCTTGATTGTATCAAACTCTGGAGTTAAAACTGTCCATCAAACACTACAGGGGCTACACAATAAGCCAACAGATTGTCAGTCCCACATGCAAAAGCAGAAGGTGTCCAATGTACTGTCAAAAAGAAAGAGAAATCCAAAGAATATGAATCGTTGAGGCTAAAGTTAGAAAGAATTCAGCCCTTAATGCTCTTGGCTCTATTTAATGTGAAGCCAATTTAAAGTCAATTTTGAGATGCTTCTGCAAAAGAGGTATGAATAACATCCTGAACTGATCCAGAACAAGTTGGGGACTAAGCAAAATGGTGATTGAAAACAGAATCATTTAAACTCCAATAAACAATAGTGCAGGGACTACATATCAAACGTTCACACTGAAAACTTTCATTGTTATGTTAAAAAATATAAACTAATTCTGCAAGCAAGACATTTCTTTTTTAAATATGACAGGGGCAACAAAACACTGGAAATCTGTATTGCTTAAAAAAAATAAAAATAATAAAACAAGGTTTGAGGAAGATCTCTTAATGTATGAGGTTTATTTGTAATAGGTTTGTTAAAATGGGTAGAAACAAGAAACTCCATAGGACCTGAGTCCCTCAGAAGTGAAGGTTGGAAGAGGATTACCACTCTGTGAAAACTGTACCGGTAAACAGTCACTGAATTTCAGAATAATGTTCCTTGGGGTAAAACGTCAAGTGCATTAGAGATTCCATTATCTTTAGCACAAGATATCTTAAAAATTTTCAGAGAACCTGGATTCATCTCGGAATAAAAGGCTGAGAACTAACACTGGATGGCCGTGACCTTTGGGCCCTCTGGCAGCGTCAAAAACAAACACGGTTGTAGTGGAAGTCACTGCATGAGCTCAAAATCATTTCCAAAACTACCTTTTGTCTGTGACCACAGTTCATCGCTGCATCCACAAACACAGGATAATACTGAACCATCAAAGGAAGAAATCATATGTAAACATAATTAAGAAGCATCAGGGTCTTCTTTGGACCTGAGCCCACATTGATACAAAGTGGAAAACTGTCCTGTGGCTTAACAAATCAATATTTGACATTCTCTTTGAAAATCATTGACACATGGACTCCACTTTTAAGAGGAAAGAAACCAGCTGGCTTGTTGTCAGTGCACAGTTCAAAGTTGGTCTTCTTGGTGGTATAGGGATGCATGACATCCCAACGTTTTCAGGAAAGACTTGAAATATTTGTGCAAAAGGTTCAAAAACACAGTCATGGCTCTGTAGTAGAAGAGTCCCAGTGCTGAACTCGCCTTAACTTGTCTGAACTTATAACCCATTAAAAATAAAATTCTGAAATGTAAGAGAAGGGACCCAAAACAGTTGAGCAGCTCGATTCCTACATCCAACAAGAATGTGACAACATTTCACTTTTGAAACCCCAGAAGCTGGTCTCCTTGGTCTCCAAACAACCACAGTATTTTTAGAAGAAGAGGTAATGGTGCACAATTATAAACATGTCTCTGTTCTACCTTTTTTTATGTTGCTATGATGAAGTGTAAAATGAACATTTTTCTGTTTTGTTTTGGTCAAAAAATGATAAAAATTAATTCTGTAGCAGTTTTTGGCATGGTGCCTTTTCTTAATTTTTCATTAAATGTGAGTTTTAAATGATTTGCAAATCATCAAATTCTCTATTCATTCACATTTTTCAGTGTTCTAACTTTTTTTAAAATAAGGTTGTAGGTACATTTAAATGAATTAACTTGTTTCAGTAGCTGTTAGCAGTAGAGACCACTTTCTATCCAGTAATGTAAATTGTATATGTACAGTGAAATGGATGCAAAGTTTGAAACTGAACCAAGACCTTTTGTCTTGTACAGCTAAACCAGAAAGTGAAGAGAGGTTAGTTTCTTTTATGTTTGTTTAAACTGTTCTTTGATATCAGAAAGTACTGACCATGTTTCACACTGACCAGACTGAATAATGCAATGATGATAATGCATACAAAGATAAGCACATCAGCCACTTAAGTTAACATAAGCTGCTAAATGAGAGCTAATAATACTAATTATTTTCACAGTTGAAGTTTCTCTGTTTCGATACTTGTAAAATATGTGTAAAACCATAGAAATGATAAGCAAGTGTCTGACTGTGATGTGCTAAACTAATGGAAACCAGTTTTTTTAGTTAACTTGTTTAAATGACAAACTGTGTAGAGCTTGAGAGCTTTCCTACCAGGAGTGATACAGTTTGAGTCAAAGCGAGCCTCTGTGGGAAGCACCTCTCCTTTCTCCAGAGCTTTTTTTATCTTGTCTTCAGCTTCCTTTGCAGACCTACACACATACAGACACACACACACACACACACACACACACACACACACAAAGTCAGCTTTAAAAATGTAAGGTCAGACTCACAGTCTCAGTCTGTTGTCCTGTCTGTAGTCTGGTTCCTCTGTTCTTTACCAAAGCAAATATTGCATTTTAGTTATAGTCAGTTTGGGGCCCATGCTGCCTTATTAGGCAGTAAATGCATGGCCTGGGTTTATAAATGTGGCACCTCAAACATCACTGCTTAATCACAGAATTACACCGGACATTGAGTTAATATATCTGAAAACAGTGCTGTCATTTTGGTCAGATAAGCGAAAGCAAATGAGTCATTATTTACACTTGAGATTTAACATCATGGTGAAGGCATGTTCAGAAAAATTACATTTCTTTATTTGGTCACTTCAAGAAAAGCTACTACAACAAACTAAATTTAATATCCACCTTCGATCATTGAGAGTGAAAGAGGAAACCATTACTGGCAAAAATGACTTTTGGTGAATGTAGGGATTTTACAGGAGTCTGTATTCACCCTTTATCAACAGAACCCAAAACCCAAAACACCAACGCAAGTCTCCAACAAGGTTTCTGAGTTAGTTTAGTTCAACAGACAGATGTAATGATTTCACGTTTCTTCCATCTTGCGCTGATCTCTACCTGAATCTCCGTCCTCTTTGCTGGTTCATCTTAGCCCTTGGTGCCACACCATCCACGGCCATGAAGAAGACCTTGCGAGGCTTGACTATTCTGAAGAGCACCTCCAGGTAATGGAAGATGTCAGCAAAGATCTTTTCTTCAGAAATGCGGAAATGGACATCCTCGTCGTTTGGGTGGGAACACTGATGGATGATCCCATTCATATCTAGATAGAGATTGTCGAATTCTGGAATCTAAAAAGAAAAGAAAAAATATCAAATATGACAAAGGTAATGACTCTTCACAGAAAGATAGTCTGCAAAAGTGCTGCAAATTCCCCAAATTGTAAAATCTGGATTTACTCACTGACTTCTTTACATTTTGTAGATCTCTAAACCACTGGAACATTTTGTGAAGTCTTGTTCTATTTTTGGGTGTTAACAGTGGCATTCTTGAGAGGAGGAAATTTAGGACCTCCAAGTTAAAGATCCAACTCTGTATCAAAGGTATATTACACTTGTTCTTGTGGGATACATCACCCATCGCGGGATGTGTGATTTTCATCTTCATACAATGACGAAAATTATTCAGGCAAACCATAGCTGTAAACCAACAAAAAAATCTAAAAAATAAAAGAGTCCAAAAAGTGAAATAAATTCTAGTAAATTTTAAGAGGATGTAGACGTTTGCATTTAATACCAGCTTCATAACAGGTATATCATAGCCGCCTTCTGCAACGAGTGACACTCGGCAAAAACCAGCTGATGAAACTGCTGCCCAAGCAGTGAAATGCAATATTGCTTATTACACGGTGAACTGTGTCTCTAAAGTTCGTCGCAATTATGCGGAAGCAGTCCGAAAAAAAAGAAATGACCAGTCTTAACAAACTCCCCTCTTAGTATCGACTACTTATATTATTGTATGTATAAAAGTATTCTTTTTACACTAACAATGAACGGCAAGGAGATTGAAAGCTTGCCGGTGTTACAGTTAAACGGGTGACCCTGTTAAATGATGACTTAGCGCAGAAGTGACGTGATTACATCATACGTTGAAATAAAACTTGGAGATAGATTTGCGAACACATAACTTTGTGCAGATGTGTATTAAACACAAGACATCAAAATATAAAGCTTCAAAAGCTACAAGGGCATAAGTGATAACAGCAGCGCAATCTTTTAACATTTATAACAACTATGGTAACTACAGTACGTACGTCAACTACAGGCGCGTGCGACTGTAGGTTTTCAGTCAACAGGGACACAAATACAACCGTAACACCAGCTAAAAAACAAAGCTACAACCCTCAAAGATCGCGGTGTTGACACTGCTCAAAATACTCTTACTTGTCAACAATATAAACGATCACTGCTGAGCCGTTCACTGAGTTACACGCACTTCGATCCGTTTGATTTAAACACGTTTGGGAGAAATTGGGTGACATTGGGTTAATGTGTTTGACCTCAAAACTGTAGATTTGTTTTCCAGAGAGCGAATTTAACTCCTCATCACACACAACCAAAAGCACAGGACAGAAAAAGTTGACAGGCTTGACAAATTATATAAAGCTCCATAAAGCTAAGCTAACGCTAACAGTGAAGCTAACAGTCTTTACCTGGTGCTCCTTCACAACTTCACTCAAACAAGGGTAACGCTCCGATATCCAGCGATAAAATTTCGGTACCCCCATCTTCTTTATGAAAGTCTGAACCCCTGGCTCAGATAATTTCACAGCTAAACTAAGAGGAAAGGTTTGTTTTTGATGGAAACTCAGTCTAGGTCATGAGAACTTGAGCCCGGTTTTGTTTCCAACGGCCGCTAACAAGCTAGTTGTCCGTTGTCCACTTGGTAAAGTATTCCGCCGCTACTCAGGGAAACAACGTTCCGCATTTAAATCTCCCCCTTCTCTTCGGCTGTAGCTATGGAGACCAACTCCCGCCAAAAATGATGAGTAGATGTGGCAGCTTCCAGCGACATGCATTCATTTGGTCGTAAGAAAAATCCCTGTGGTGAAATTATGTTGTTTTTGCAATACCTTTACTTATCATTATGTGGAAAATAAAACCTGTTTTTCATTAAGATGAATGCAACTGTCATTGAATTTTGAAATAAAATGAGAAATCGAATCAGCTCATCATTGGTTAAATCAGTAAATAAAATGTCTGGATACACATTCACTTTAGACTTCCATACAAAAATATATTCCAACCTTTGAACTGGCTTTTTTATTGTTATACTTACATGTTTAGTGCAAGGTCTTCACTGTTTCCATACAGAAAAAAAGTTTTCTTTCAATGCATTTTTTTGTAAATCAAGGGCGACCAAATTTTAATTACCGAAAATCAGGACACTTGGCCCAACAATGAGATACTCAAATAAAACTTGAAATCTACTCAAAGATGCCTTATTCAATACATTTAAAGTATATAAGAATAAGAAAAAACTTTATTGATCCCAGAAGGGAAATTCAATTGTCTGTTGTCTCACGTAATATGTCTATAAAAGTTATCTATTATTTACATAAGAGTTATAAAGCCTGATGGCTGTTGGTACAAAAGATCTTCTAAATCTTTCTGTCCTGCAGCGAAGAGAGAGGAGCAGTCCACCACCATTTGCCCTTTGGTCCATCAAGCTGTTGTGAAGTGGGTGATCCATGTTCTTGAGAATAGTCTTCACCTTCCTCAGTATAGATCTCTCCACCACATCCTCCACTGAGTCCAGCTTGAGTCCTACCACAGAGCCAGCCTTTCTCACCAGTTTGTTAAGACGTCTTGCATCTTTGTGTTTGATGCTTCCTCCCCAGCAGACTGCAGCGTAGAACAGCAAACTTGCCACCACAGACTGATAAAACATCTGCAGCGTCTTAGTGATGTCTATTGATCGGAGTCTTCTCAGGCAAAAGAGGCGGCTCTGCCCCTTTCTGTAGATGTAGTCTATATTCTTAGACCAATCCAACTTATTATCCAGATGTACACCTAGGTATTTATATGATCTCACCACTTCGATGTCCACTCCACAGGTGTTCACTGGCTGAAGAGGGGGTTTGGATCTACAGAAGTCTATGACCATCTTCTTTGTCTTTGAGGTGTTGAGGAGGAGGCAGTTTTTGTGACTCCAGTCACTGAAGGCTCTTATCAGATCTCTGTATTCAGCTTTTTGTCCATTTTTGATACATGCCACAATAGCGGTGTCATCTGAGTATTTCTGGATGTGTCAGGACTCAGTACTGTGTTTGAAGTCTGACGTAGACAGTGTGAACAGGAATGGTGCCAGCACTGTCCCTTGTGGAGCCCCTGTACTGCTCATTAATGTCCCAGAAACACAGTTCCCCAGCCTGACAAACTGTGGCCTTCCTGTCAGGTAATCTGTGATCCAGGAAACACAGGAAGGATCCACTCCTATCTCTGTGAGCTTGTCTTTGAGTATGGTGGGTTGGATGGTGTTGAATGCACTTGAAAAGTCGAAGAACATGATCCTCACATAAACCCCATGTTCCTCCAGATGAGACAGGGCACAGTGAAGCATGTAGAGGACAGCATCATCCACTCCAATGTGTTCTTTGTATGCAAACTGCAGGGAATCCAGTTTGTCTCTGACCTCAGACTTCAGAAGGCATAGAATCAGCCGCTCCAGGGTTTTCATGATGTGTGAGTAGGTACCCGCCCCAGCTGTAGACTCAGGTTGAAGATCTTGTGGAGAGGTTGACACAGTCTCTAAGCAGCCTTGGACACACACCATCTGGACCAGCTGCTTTCCCAAGACAAAGTCTTCCAAGCTCCATCCTCACCCCTGTTTCGGTGACAGACAAGGACTGGTGTTCTAGGAGGGAGGCAGTTGAAGTGATTGAGACATTTGAATGAGATGGAGGAGGAAGGGGAGAAGTTGTAGTGGAGATTTGTTGCAGAGAGGAAGGTGGAGTAGCAGTGGAAGTGGGAGTGACAGCAGTGTCAAATCTGTTGAAGAACAGGTTGAGTTCATCAGCTCTTTTCACATCACCCACCACTGGCTGTCTTTTCTTTTTATTGCTGTGTCGTGAGATGGTACTGATTCCTCTCCACACTTCACAGATGTTGCTGTGTTGTAGATTATTCTCCTTCTTCTTTTTGTACTCCAGCTTTGCCATCTTCAGTCTCCTCTTCAATTCTTGTTGAACTTGTTTGAGTTGTTCTCTGTCACCATCTTTAAAAGCTTTCTTTTTCCAGTTAAGGATTGCTTTTATGTCTTTTGTGATCCAGGGTTTGTTGTTGGGGAAACAGCTAACAGTTATTGTGGGTATAACTATGTCTCTACAGAAGTTGACATAACCAGTAAAGCAGTAAACCTGTTTATCAATGTTCATACTATCCACATCTGTTTCCAGCAGCACATTCCAGTCTGTTGATTTAAAACAGTCCCTTAGAGCTTCACTGGCTTGAGGTGTCCATCTTCTGATTTTGACTTCGGTCACAGGCTGCCTCAGCACACAAGGTCTGTAACAGGTTTGCAGATAGACCAAGTTATGATCTGACTTGCCCAGTGGTGGTAAGGCAGAGGCTCTATAGGCTTCTTTGACGGTGGCATACAGCAGATCCAGGGTTTTGTTTTCTCTGGTAGGACAGTCGATTTGGGTGGAATGTAAACAACTACTGTTATGATACGACTAAATTCTCATGGAACATAATATGGTCGAAGAGCAACTGCCAACAGTTCAATATCTGGACAACACAACTTCTCCTTGACAGTTATGTGTGAAGGGTTACACCATCTCTGGTTGAAAAATAAAGCCAGACGTCCTCCGTTCTTCTTGCCACTGGCTTGAGCATCTCTGTCTGACCTTAAAGTGAAGCCAGGTAGATCCACACTGGAGTCTGAGTTGTTTTGATTCAACCAGGTTTCAGTAAAACACAGGGGACTGCACTCACAGTATGCTTTCACAGTCTTCACAAAGATCTCCAGATCATCGCTTTTGTTGGGCAGGAAGTTGACGTTTCCCATAATGATTGATGGTGGAAAGGGTTTATATCTAGGGGCATATACCTAGGGGCAGACCCCTAGGTGGCCATAGATGTAAACAAGTGCTAGCCAACATATATCACATGAGCTGGTCTTGTCCCAGGTTTAAAACGTTCTGGACCAACATTTTTAGATCTTTCTCATCCATGTAAGGGTATGGAGCCCAGTCCTCTGACAGCCATATTTGGTGTGGCACCAATGGAAACACAACTCACAATTGCAAGCCAGGAGACTGATCCTATTTAACTGGATAAAGGCAACACTGCCATCTCACAAACGGTGGGTAGAGGAGGTGATGGCACACCTTAAATTAGAGCATCTTAGACTTACTCTGCAGGACAACCCTAGGAGATATTCTAAGGTCTGGCTGGCAGCCTTTCATTCCTTATTTTGAACACGTTTCATCTGCTCCAACATAATTGGCTGCACCCCCCCTTTTTTTTCTGTCTGCTCTCCTATTTATCATCATTATTTTTGTTGTTGTTATACTCATTTTTATTTGTATGTTTCTTTTTAACCCCAGAGTGTCTGGAAGGCATAGGTGGGAGGTATGTTTGATGTTTGGTAGCTCGTATGATCTTACAAAAACTATCAAAAGATGTCAATCTCTTTAGTTTTCCTCTTCATCTTAGTGGCCCAATGAAAAAGAATGAAAATCAGTTCATCACTTTATAAAAAAAAACAACCAGGACAGGACATGAAAACAGGACATGTCCTGGGAAAACAGGATGTCTGGTCACCCTTTTGTAAATCGAATATTTGGGTTGGTTATCACTGTCAACATGCCAGTGTCCTTGGCTAAGAAACTACCTCCAGTGGTTGGCCCAGCGTGTGAATGAATTTGGTTAATACTGAAAGTTCCTTTCTGTGGTGGCATACTATGCCATTAGTGTGTGAACAAGGTGAGAACTGATGAATGTGGTATAAAAATGAAAAACACTGAGTAAGACTAGAGAAAGTGCTAACACACAGATTAAAAACATACTGCCATTTTAACCACTTTTCCCCCTGTCATTGAATCATACAGAGCAATTTTTAAGGAATAATAATTTGCACAGTATACGGAAAACACTAGTACTACATATGGAATTCAGCCTTTATTGACTAACATTGCACTCATAAACATATTAGTCTGCACAAATCCACATCCACATGAAAACAGCCATAAAAAACACTCAGCAAAGAACTAGTATTGCAATGATCTTTAACAACTCTCAAATTAACTTTGTCTCTTTGTCCATTTTTGACTCTGTATTAAACCTACTGACCACGGCAGCCATTGCTGTAAAGGTTTCCCTGTATTATGCAGAGCACAAACATTGGACTTGAGGCTTAAGGGAGTTTGAGGTACATTCTGGTATAATGAACAGGTTTGAATACCTGAAAAAAAACTGAAAAAGTTCAAGCAGAAATGACACAATATAGCAGAATTGTTTGGAAATAATTTATTGAGTTTTACAAATACAAAACCTCTCTCTCTCTCTCTCACTCCATTATCATAAAATAGGTCTGTCTCATGATGCTCACCAAATTCTCTGGATGTCATTGTAGACATGGATTACTGCTCCACAGAAACTGATGGCAGGTTTGCTTTAAGATACCACAAAATTCAGCTCAGATCAGATGTTTCACCTACAGTACGTGAAGAGTAACTGCTACTTCAAAAGAACTAAATCAGATTCATTGAGGTTCTTATTTTTCAACAAGCAACACATGGCTCACAGATGTGGAAAATAATCCAGTTTGGTGCAGCATTGGGGATCAATTCCTTAAATTAGACGAGAATGGCTGTGATTACAGACAAACATGTCAGATATCATTTTGTTCAGAAAGTAAAAGAAACATCAGGAGTTCCTCAACATTTCCAGATACAACGCTCTTCTCTGAATCCCACGCACTTTGTCACATCCTACACTCATAAACCAGAAAATGAACTGGCGATCAGAATGAAATTCAAGTCATAGTTAATAAAACTGGTGTCTTCCAATCTGAAAAACACAATAACTACACACAAAGAGGGAAAAGGATAAGTGAAAAACATAGAGGGAAGGGTTAAAAGCTTTAAGTGAGGGTATCAGCTCTGCATGTCTCTGTTTTGTGCTTTGGCCTTTAAAAGGGAAAATGCATCACACTAGTAGTGTTTGGCTGGATGTACCCTTGAGAGTTTAAATTAAAAAAGGTACACACTTTGATTTGACCTAAAATCATAAAGACAAGCTTTATTGAAGCAAATATTACTTAAACGAAAAGAAACAAAATGCTCTGTTGAAAAAGTCTCTTGTTCCATTTGTGCCCAAGCTCCCCTGGGATTTGGCTGCATGATCACAGCACATCTTCTCCTGCTCTGCAGATGTGCTGCTCCTACGTCTGTACAGCCTTCTGGAAAAAATAGTAGCTCATTAAAATAAGACAGTTCACTTCAGCTCTTCTGCTGTTGTCAGGTATCCCAGTTCAGCAGGGAGTGTGTGCGCTCTCCCTGCATCCCACTGATCCTCTACCAAACAGAGAGGCTGATGGTGCTTTTACACACAGAATGCATGCCAGACCTTCAGACCAGCTCAAGCACCTGTAGGAAGAGAAAAAATTAGACCAATGTAACCTTGAGCTTGCTGTTACAGTCAAAAAGATAAAGGCACTACCTTTGAATCACTAGTGTGCCATTAAACCGTTTTTAAAAACCTTACTTTAGGTTTAAGCTTGAAAGGTTTTCCAGATATGTTGCACAAAACTATAGACCTCTACCTGCATTGAAGGCCATCCATTCTTGTACCTTTATGGGCCCCTGTTTACTCTGTACTTCATTTCTCCTCTAACTCTCTAACTCTCCTCTAACTTGGCTGAAGAGTTTATTGACAGCTATAAAAGATTGCTGCAGTTATTCACTGCATTTAATTAAACTTTTACTGAACTGGGAAGTCCCACTGAAGTCGATTAATTTGTTAGCATGTGTCAAATGGGAATAAAAAATATTCACACCAATGTAGTTGTGCAGCAACAACAGCAGCTCCCTTTAAGATCTAGAGGCATGTTTTGGATTGAATGCTGGTACACTAACCTTGATCGTTCCTTGACTGTTTGCAGCAATCAGTACATTTGACTCCTGAAAAACAATTCAACATGAATTAAACCAGTGCAATGTGGATTATTTGGTGATAAGTTGGTGATCAGTTGAACAAAATTCAAATAAAATGTTGAGTCAAGTTTTGCAGAACAAGGTTATTAGAACATGATGAGTAAGCAGGGACAATACAGTGTGCAGCTCAGGATAAAATCAGGACTACTCAAATGAAGTTTCTTTTCAGTTTCACATTGGGGAAACACCAGCTGGTTTCATCAAGTTAAATGATCTACAGTCCCCCACCACAGTGGAATATAAAAGGTGGGGAGTGGGATTCTCTCCCAGGAACTTTTCAACTGAAATATTGTGTTTCCACAATTTCTGTGAATTGTTGGACAATGTCTTTCCTACATGAAAACATTACTTTCAGATGTTTACATACTCTACTGTCCTCTTTATGTCTTTAGTTAAAGATGTAACCTCTTTGTTTGTGCAGCTTGCACCATTTCACAACAAGGGGAAGGTCATTCATCTGAGTTCATAGAGATGAATACAGCCTGTCTGTAGCTTTAAACAATACAACAGCAAGAGTTGTCTGATTATGTGCAAAAAGCTGATTACTTTCATCTGCAGCTGGAGTCTCATCTTTATTTCTTTTAACTCTACAAAAACAATTTACTGGCGCAATGTGTTCCAGTTGCCTCTGCTGACAACAGCAGCTCTGTTGTCTGCGAAGAGACAACAAAGCAACAGATAATTAATAACCTTATCACCATTAGATGGTAATTTTAATGACACAGTAGTAACTGAAGAGCTCACAGCTGCTGAAACACACCTCTGAACATCTGAGCGATATTTTTCAGAGACATTGTGAAGGTGACTCTCAGGATTTTGTGATTGTTTACAGTTCAAAGGCAAAAGTTATGCCCCTTCTGTACCAGCATATCTAGAGGAAATAGCTGAGTAATAAAGAGGTGAACTCACTCCATCAGGCAGGGCTCTCCAGCAGACAGCACTGACAAACTCATTGGTGTCATCTTCCTTCTTGTCCTTGTCCAGGACGCTCTTCACTGTGTCGAACTTGAATGTCAACAGTGTCTTGGAAAGTCCTTTGTAGTACAGGTACAGGGAGTTGTTTTCACTGCCTGTTCAGCACACACATAAAAATACGAAAACAAAAACACAGACTTTTTGTTATCACCTTTTTACCACAACAATCTTCAGTTTTATGTTGCAGTTACAAAGAGGTGCTGATAAGACAGCTGAAAAAGAAGACTGATTTGATCTTAGACTTGTGAGATATATGTGGAAAGGTCAAGAGAGAAAGACTTTACAGTACAAATAAGTTGTATAAATGAACAACTTTTGGAGGCAAAACTTACCACAGGCGACATAGTCTCCATTAGAGGCGAGGCCGACAAAGTTTTTCTCATTGATGTGACCCTTGAAGGAGCGCAGGCAGTGAGGCTTGTTGACGTTCCACAGCTTCAGCTGACTGTCTGTTGAGCTGGAGGTTGAAGGTTGCAAACCCAGACCGGGACAAGAGCAATGCAGGATTAAATCTGGGTTTTTATGTGTGTGTGTTTCAAATATATTAATGAATGAAAAATGGATCAGAAAAAAACAAAAAAAAAAAGAAAGAGGAGGGAGGGAGGGATTGTCTGACTTGCTGACTTTTTTAATATCTATATTTGTCTTCATATTTTTATATTTTTGCTCAGACTTCATTTGGTATTAGTTGTTATCCACAGAGAGTGACCTTGACTTGTCAAAAAAGGTATTTACAAACATTACTCTTGTATTTGACTGTTTTGCTGCTCTCAGTCGATGTCCCAATCCTGCTGGGAATAATGCTGAAGTGACTTACGCAGAGACGATTTCCTCTCCGTTGACAAACTTGGCGTAGGACACCGCCTTCCTGTGGCCTTTGAACACCATGATTGGCTGCTTGGTGTTGCGTAGATCATAGTAGTGAACACAGTGGTCTGCAAACACAAACAAACAGAAAAGATATGGTCTGCCATCAGATGAGAGATGAAAAACTGGATGGAGGGGTGGGGGGGAGGCTGCAGTGAGGCACACTGCCACGTTGAGTGATGGTGCAAGAGATTTGTTGACATTTTCTAAAATTCATGTTGCTTACAAGCAATGTGTTCTCCATCCGTCCTGGGGTGAATGATTGTTATGCTCTGCCTGCTGGCTTTAATTCTAATGTCCTAGCTTCACTTCAAACCAACAGTACCAAGGTCAAAGGAGGTTTCTTTTCCAGGCTTAGTGGACTTGGACCTTGGAGACTTGGGGAATGGGGTAAAAAAGCCAGAGCAATTCCCTGCTGGACAACCAAGAGTTTCTGTGTTACTCTGGTAGTTCCTGGTTGAAGGATTGTTTCTGTGTATGACAGGATAGCTCTTATTTAAGTTATTTCTCTTTAGGGAGAGTAAAAAATGAATTTTCAAAAGTCTGTCTGGATCACCAGAGTCTGTATGACCACAGAAGAAAGAAAAAATACGGAGAAAAGCTGCAGTGGTGTGAAGTGTGATCATATTTTATAAAGAGAGATAAATGTTATTCACCTCTGAAGATGTTTTTATTCAATCAATCAGTCAGAAAGTGACAGCAGTTACACACTTGCACCTGTAATGCTATCCCCGTTTTTAGAGGATAAGGAACACCTTAAACCTCCTGAACTCACCTGCACAGCCAAACGCCAGGTGATACCTGGAGGTTGGACTGAATTTAACACAGCAGACATTCGCTTTCGCCTCGATGCTGGCCACTGAGTTGTCAAGATTGGTTGACCACAACTTCACTGAAAAGCAAAAATCAGACAAAGGTAGAGTTCATCATGAATTCAACAATGTATGACATGCAAGGGAGGTAATTTTTTTTTTTTTTTAATCATAAAGTTACCTTTGGCATCATCAGAACCCGAGGCTAACAGCTTGGGGTCCATCAGATTAAAGTCCACACTCCAACACCGTTTTTCATGTTCCTGAAAAAGCAGCAGAAAGCTAATGTGTCATTACAAGGAGAGATAAATCATTGAAACTGAACTTCAATCTTATAATCTGCTGTTACCAACTACTATAATCCAGTACCTAGGTACCCTACCTGGTAGACTTTGGACCTCTGGCCGGTGAATCCATCCCAAAGGATGACAGTACCTTCGTAGTCACTGCTGGCCAGAAGGTTCTTGTGATAGCTGCTCCAGCTGATACAGCTGCAACAAACAAAGTTGGTTTTAAGAATGCTGCAAAATCACTGACCCCTCTGTTAGTGAATATGGAGAGTTGTAGTCAACAACATTTTCATTGTCTGGCAAAAATAAAGCCTGGAACTGTAGCCCTGATTAAGGATGTACCGATCAACCAGGTTCACTAGAGACCGCAACACTCTGAGTTTCTGTTGTCACTCTCAAAAGGGGTCAGCGTGTAATGTTGAGTGCAACCTGCTCTGAATGAGAACAAAGTGACATCTGTGGTTGCAGCCACTTCATGGACTTATTGAGAGGATAAGGAGAGGATGTGCTTATTGAGAGACATGGAGGCAACGCAAAAGTAGCTGACCTATGGCAGTGGGACCAAAAAACAAGTTTTGTATCCACTGAATAAAGACTACCACAAGAAAGTTGCTGCTAAAGGACACAAAAGCTGATGCAAAATCTACTGATCACCACCCATGTAATTGCACCTGATAAAAACACTTTTGATGTTGAATTTTCTGATTCTGATAGAGGTCCTACAGCCTACAGACTATTTCTTTGTTTAAAAGTACAGAGCCAACGTACAGTGGATTTTTTTTTAGCAGACAAACGTTTTTTTGTTTTTTTCACTGTGATTTATTAACATTGTTCAACTTTTATTAATGCTTTCAAGGCTAGCAACAGTTTCAGTCAAAAAACCAATTACTTTTCTTCCACGATTTCAAAATCACAAGGGACAGAGACTTTTTGGTTCATTTTTACATATAACAGATGTAGTGTATTATCTTTTTACTGTATTATGTCTGCTCTGAAAAGAGATTTTATCTATCAGTAACACTGCAAATGATCACGAAGTCCCATCTCAGCTCTGCCTCTATGCCATAAACTGCCAACATTTGGGTTATAAAATCAAAAGATTTTTGCGGTGCACGCACGTTTGTTTCCCTTTCATTGAAGTGTTCGTACTGCAACACACACTGTTTAAATACAGTGCATCCAGAAAGTATTCATACCACTTCACTTTTTCCACATTTTGTTATGTTACAGCCTTATTCCAAAATGGATTAAATTCCTTTTTTCTCTCAAAAATTCTACACAAAATACCCCATAATGACAAAGCGAAAAAATTTTTTGAACATTTTGCAAATGTATTAAAAATAAGACACTCAAATGTTGTATATACATAAGTATTCACACCCTTTGCTATAAAACTCAAAATTGAGCTCAGGTGCATCCTGTTTCCACTGATCAGCCTTGAAATGTTCCTCCAACTTGATTGCAGTCCACCTGTGGCAAATTCAGCTGATTGGACATGATTTGGAAAGCCACACCTGTCTATATAAGATCTCACAGCTGACAGAGTAAGTCAGAGCACAAACCAAGCCATGAAGTCGAAAGAATTGTCTGTAGACCTCCGAAACAGGGTTGTATCAGAGCACAGATCTGGGGAAGGTTACAGAAAAATATCTGCTGCATTGAAGATCCCAAAAAACACAGTGGTCTCCATCGGCAAAGAAGACAAAGGAGTGGCTTCAGGACAAGTCTCTGAATGTCCTTGAGTGGCCCAGCCAGAGCCCAGACTTGAACCCGATTGAACATCTTTGGAAAGACCTGAAAGTAGCTGTGCACCGACGCTGCCCATCCAACCTCACTGAGCTTGAGAGGATGTGCAAGGAAGAATGGGGAAAAACTCCCCAAATCCAGGTGTGCCAAGCTTGTTGTTGGAGGCTGTAATTGCTGCCAAAGGTGCTTCGACCAAGTATTGAGTAAAGGGTGTGAATACTTATGTATATGCAACATTTGAGTGTTCTTATTTGTAATAAATCTGCAAAATGTTCTAAAAAAAGTTTTTTGCTTTGTCATTATGGTTTATTTTGTGTAGAATTTGTGAGAGAAAAAGGGGATTTAATCCATTTTGGAATAAGGCTGCAACATAACAAAATGTGGAAAAAGTGAAGTGGTATGAATACTTTCCGGATGCACTGTATAGTTTACAGCTTAAACCGACCTGAATCATCCCAAATTGTAAAGTAAAAGTATCAACCCCATTGTCTGTGAGGCTCAGCAGAAACACAGGACAATCATCGGTTGTCAGGAAAGCTGGCAACTTTGGACAAATATAGTGATCTGATTCATGAATGAACGTGGACCATGCAAACTACGGGGGTGTCCCAGGAAAAACAGGAGTGTTGGCAGGTATGCTCTATGCTTGTGTCTAGGTGGACCAGAGTCTGCATTTCCAACAAGAAATATTGACTCCACTACTGTACTGAGTGCCACAGTTTATCACTGACTTTCTTCAACATTTAGGAGTTAAATCAGAACACAAGAAAAGCTTAATGAAAGGAATGAGGGAAAAAAAAAACAGAGATAAAAAAAACATCAAAATTCACAATTTATCATTAAGCTGAAGTCCATAAAACTTTGGAGCCCTTTCACATCAGCTGATTGAGAGCTAAGTGTTGTATTCAATGGCTCTTTCTTTGTTTCGGCCATGCCACTAAAAGGGTGTTTTGCAACAATTCATACTATCCAGAAATGGTGAACATCACAGCTTACACTCAGACTAAACAAGAACCAGTGTATATAATGGTTTATCGTTATTTAAGCAGTTTCTGTGGTGTATATCTGCACACTCCTGCTCCTTCTGGATGACAAAATGACTCTCACCTGATTTTGGAATTGCAGGTCATCTCATTAACAGGGTAGTGGATGTCCACTGCATCCTGGATAACTGTCCCATACTCAAACACTTTGATCTTCTTGGTCACACCAGCAATGGCAAAATAGTCACAGTCACGGTCAAACTCAATACTGAAACATGGAACAGAAAAGAGGTTTGGAACTTACTGACAGAAGGTGTTTCTGTGCTGCTACTTTAAATCAAATGTTATGGCATATCATCCTGAAGAGCCCACACAAGTTTAGACAAGACTTTGTGTACCTGGAAACAATACTGGAGCCGTTATAGAGGTCACTGGCGTAGGAGAGGGTGGCGAGCGGTCGCACAGAGTTGTAACGGGTGAACTTTGAAAGACACTCCATGAAATCATCAAGCTGATTCAGGTTCCTGCCTTCATCTGAGCACAACAGGCACACAAATTACAGATATACAAACGGTTTACTTTGTGTTTAGTAAAATAGAAGAAAAATGGTAAAGCTAGACAGATTGCAAAAGAAAATTTCTTGCAACACTCTGCAATTCAAACAGATCAGCCTGATATCTGAACATAAGGAACATTTTGTCCTGAACACTAACATGTCAGGTTCTTCGGAGAGCCTAGGGGCTCCCCTAACAAGGAATTGGGGATATTCCTTCGATGTTACCAGCTACGACTTCATCAAAACCAGCCACTCTGAGACAGCAAGTAGTCGAACTTCTGGTGTCTGTGGTCATTAGTTTCAAAAATGTATACTCACAAAAGTGTAGGCAGAGCAGTCATTGAGTATTCATTTCTGAGAATTGAAACCTGGTAGCCCCCCTTCATTGGCTCTCTGGTTGATCTATTCATGTGCAGACTCAAAAAACTACAGGACAACAACAATAATGAGACTGCAAGGTTTGTACCTGTGATACGTGACATCTTATTGGAGAAGTAGCACTGCTCAAGATCTTCAAAATGAGCCGTCAGTCTCTTCCTCCTCGACGCCAGTGTGCTGTTGTACCACGTCTGTCTTTTGCCCTGGAAAAACAGTTGAGAGTATTTAAAAGTAAAGCCATGTCAGAGCTAAACTCAAACTGACATTTATTTTGTTATAACTCTTTCAAAGATTTACCAAGAATGTGCCGGGGCTTTCTGCTTCGAACATTGAAATTAAACATTAACTTGACAGGCCTTTGCTTTAACAGCCATCATGGGAACCTCAGTATCTGTCAAAATTTGTGGTAACTTCTGTCCAGAGATGGGGTTTTTTGTGTGTGTGTGTGTGTGTGTGTTTTTTTCTGAAATAGCCAAAGAACTTCCTCTTGTTTTCCTTTGAAGGGAAAACCAATGACTCACATGTACCGCTAAATAAAAATCACCTAAACAGTTCGACAGGCTACAAATCCAATAAATCCCAAAACAAGGGAACAACGCTGTTTTCACAAAGCAGCTGTGTGATGAGACCACAAAAGGTGTGAATACTCTGAATAAATGTTGGGATCTGATCCCTAAATCTACTAGTGAAGGTGGTCCAGGAGGCATTTGTTTAGTAATGGGCATCCTCCAGTGTGCTAGGCCATGTTAAGGACTGCCAACTTTCCTGGTATTAATGGCAACAATCACATGGAGTAACAGACCACTAGCTTCTCCAATATGTTCTCTCTCATGTATTCACAACATGTGGAGATAAAGCTTATACACTAAAGACTGATGTGCACACAATTACAGGATAAGTCATAGATTTATTTATTCAGTGAGAACGGCTGCATAAAAAGACTAGACGATCCACACAGATCGCGCAGGGATTAAACGTGCAGAGTTTGTAATGGTGCAGTGAAGATAGGCCTACAATGGTTTATAAGGGAGAAGAGGAGAAATTATAGTGCAGATCTCTATTCCACTACACCCCTGACTCCATACAAGGCACAACCAAACATGTATTTCTGTATAAAGCTCACTAAGGAACATCAGTTTAAGTCAAAATCAGGAAATGTGTCCCTACATTCTTGGTTTCTCCACTCTCACATGACTCATTTTATATTTCTCTGCTGTGTCTCAGAAAAAATAATTACTTTTCATGTCATTCCACAATTGTGTAAGCATATTCTATACAGAGTCGGGTGTACTAAAAATACAACATCCTTGCTCATTCGGAAAGGGAGACTGCATTCAGTTTTTTTTTTATTAGTGGACAAATCCTTCAACGTAGAGTTGAAGATGAACCTAACAAATGGGATCAGTGAGTAATTTGTTGTATTCTGCATCAATGAAAGGAGAAAAGTATGTATGACTTTGATCCGTCTGCCTCTCACCGTGTACATACATTTATGGGAATTTAAAATTCTCTAAAACTTAAACTTTCGGAGCTCTTTCAAAACCAAAAAAAAAAAACGAAAAGAAAATTAATTTAAAAAAAGGATGGGCTATAGATCAGTATGAAAAGGGACCATGCTTCAATTTATCACATCACCAAGAGCTTTGACTTCAGTTTAAAAACATTCACTAAACTATTTGGCAGACTGTCACGTGTAGAGGACATTTTCCACCGCTTACATTTTATCACAGGCTGCAGGTCCAACACGTTGTTCAGTCTTTTCAAGCTTGTATCTTCATTACATCATCAAGTATGACAATTTTTTGTCATGATTTGGACCGATGTCACTGTTGTTTAGCCTAGCAAATGTTAGCTCATTAACGCTCCTTCACAGAGCTATAGTCTTTCTGCTGTCATGCTTACGCTGCCCCTTGGCTTTTCAAACACACAAACACAAATGCACACAGCAGCCTCTTCTCGCTCCTCTCCCTGCTCTCCTCTCTCCATCTGCAGCTCCACTGATAAAAATGCGTGATTAATGTCTCTGCATGCTGTGAATGACAGCTGCAAAACCAGGAACACTACATTAATCAAGATTTGGACCATATCAGTACTTGAGTCCGTGATCACCTTCTCTTCTCTGCAGGTGTCAGTTTGCTCACCCTGTGATGCCAGAAATGCTTTAAATATGTAAAGCCCAAAGTAAGATCCAATCACAAGCAGTCACTAGAGACCAATGATTGATGCAAAGTGCGATTGCTTCGACATAAAATTGGTCACTTGTGACAAGAGCTGCACAATTTTGGCCAAAAATAAAATCTCATTTTTTTTCTCTGCAAACTGGATTTTTGATTTTGATTTCAAATTTTTTATTGAGTCACAACTTCACCAAACTTCACTTAATAATAAGTTTAATTTAATATTTAATTTTAATTCATTTAATAATAAGTTTTTCTATCATATCTCAAAAGGATGCAGTGCAAATGCCAAGTCAGTAAGTGGCGGTGTTACGCTGCCGAGGAAATGCACAAAAGACAGAAGAAGAGTACAGAGCATGTGTATAAGGTTGTTTTGGCAGGACACGCGCAGGCACCGTAAAAGAGTTACGCTGAGTGTGACATAATCGTTTCAATAGAGATGAAGATAGACATCCATGCGGAGATGAAATGGTAGTCGTTTACGGATTTATGCATTCCCTGACCCATTTAGAAAAGGTACCATTTACAGTCACCCAAAACGCTGTTTCCATGTGGATGAAACGCTGATAGGACAAAAAACTTTTGCGTTTACTCCTAAATTGGTTTCTGTGCGGACAGGTTGATAACGCCTTCAGACAGATTTTGCAGCAGGAAGTGGTTTGCTCTTCATCTGAGACTGCGAAGTCGTACCATTTTCACACGACTGACTTTCTCTTGCCCTATTTAGCCACAAAATTATCGCCTTCTTTTGCAAACGCCATGTTTGTTCATACTGGTGTGTGCGGGAACTGGGGAGCGCTCCCGCAGGAAGTGGGGGCCCACGGTGGCCTTGAGGCACGAGTCATGATAGAGAGGAAAATCGATTTGATGATTTTAATTATTTTAAACATCATCATAATCCAATAATCCAATCACGATTTAAAAATTGATTAATTGTGCAGTCCGACTTGTGACCCAAATCACCCATACTGAATGACAATGTCTAATGTAAACTTGGCCAGATCTGACTTTCAAAGACAACTAGAAACGGGTTTTGAATGTAGGGATCAATTAATCAATCAACAAGTGTGGTTGCCTGACTTACTTGGGTTGTTCCACCAAATCCTGGAGGCTGGCTGTAGTCTGATGGTTCAATAATACTACTACAGCTGCTCAAGACAACAAAATAAAGACATATCAGCCATACTGCTCAGTTACAAAAGTCATTAACATGTTGAGAGTGATGAAGAGCTAATTTGCTATAAATAGATGTAAGTGGTTATCATACAAAGGGGAGCTGTACCTGGGCGCTGGTGAGGGAGCCTCAACATTAGGGACTGTACACTCTGCCTCCATCATTGGAGAATACAGCCCGCTCATTTCCTGGAAAATGACACAAAAATAACATGTTTGTTTTTCTCCAGCTGTGCAGCCACCTCACTGCAGCCATTTCATAATAGTACGTTTTCAAAATCATTAGTGATCCCTCTGTGCATTCACATTGACAAGCATATGTGAATAAGGGTTTGGTAACACATCTCAGGTGGTCTGTTTGTTTTCTTTACCTCAACACGCTTGATGTCATCTTCAAGGAAGCTGAGCTCTTTCTGGAGTTGCTCCAGTTGCTGTTGAAACAAGACGCAGATAAATGTGCCTGCATGTCCATATTTAAAACAATACATGATGCTCTATTTCTCCTCTTAAAACATCTATTAATTCTTTCGGTTAAAAAAACAACAACATTTGTATAAAGCCTAGTTCAGCCGTTTTATAAATATCCGCTTGTTCCATAAAATCAGATTGCTTTTTAAAGAGACCAGCCCTCGTACCGCAGTAAAATAATATAGCGAATCAAAAAAATCTAAAGTACCTCTCTCTTGTTTCTTCTGGCTTCTTTCAGGAACTCCATGAGGATCTGTCTCTGAGCTGCTTGAGATTCCTGGAGGAGTAACAGAAAACACAGAAACTCACACATCTGCAACTGAAACTCAAGATTACCTTTGTTTCTCTTCAAGAAATCTCAACATTATCAATGTTTATTGGAACTACTTCACACTGGTGAGGATTATTTTGCTGTTTAAGTTGCAAACTGTCAAAGTTTAGCAGACTTTATGCCTGTTGCGCACACAACATCGCAGTAGTAGTAGTGCAGTACTCACAGTACATTTTAATTAACTCAGTTAAGCTTCAATCAAGAAACTTCTCTTCACAGCTGAATTACTGTGGAGACTTTGAACGACATTATCTGTTTGGGTATTTTCCTTTATTTGACAGGACAGCTAATAAGGGGCAGAAAGTCTTAGGTAGAAGAGCGTGGGGATGGTATGCAGCAAAGCACCAGGGCTGCAGAACTAGCAGCTGCTGAGTTGAGGACTGCAGCCTGTGTATACAGGCTCCTCTTCGACCACTGAGCTGAGCTGGCCCCTTAAGTGACATTACTCAAACTGGAAGGGACTTGTACTGGTGTTTGTACTCACATTCAAACTAAATTACTTAAAAGAGAAAAATTATCCAAATGTGGCACAAATTATTCAAAGCAGGCATGTTATTCAGTTCAAATACAGGAAACATCCCCAAACCCGTGGGTTTATGGGTGTTGGGAGATGATTTCTGACAACTGTGGCTGGAAGCCTCTCATACTTTGAATGTCTGGCATAACAAAATGAACCAAGAGCAGGAAGTCAAAATCTTATTTTGGACTGATGCTCTTATTTGGCCATTCATTTTTGAGGTCTTGGCTAAAAAGACAAAAAAACCGAGAGGATAATCTACAGTACAATTCCTGCAAATTTAATCAACTTTTTTTTTTTTTAAGGCTAATGAATCTTTTCACAAACGTAAAAAAAAGGGGATACCAAGACATACCTATATCTCCATTACAGCATATCAATGACTTTGTATACTCTTGGGAGTATTTGAACTGCCTTATCTTGTAGATTTTCACGTGTTTATCTTTGTGGTTGCTATTTGCATTGTAGCCAAAAGTCTGTGTTTTCTATTAACCTGTTTGTTTATTTATGTCTGTCTCTATTGAGCTTTCTCTCTTCCTCAAATCCTTCCTCGTCTATTTATATTCATTGCAGATGATCATTCACACCTTGTTCTGTAAAGGATTAATTAAGTTCGGGCTGGGCATTTTACAAAAGTCTTGCCCCTGCTATCTAAAGCTGGGGGCCTTTTCAGTGTCTGATGGGGCGCTTTATAAACTAAGTCAGTTAGTGCAATAACTTGCTACTTTCAATGTGAAATGAGCCCAGACTAAAATGCACAAAGTAATCACCAGCTTTCCAGTCTGATACCTGAGATTGAAATGTCACCCTGTTACACTCCACAACAGTTAGAACTGAGATGTTAATACAAATTAAATGCATGTTAGCATTAATGATATGATGTGTAGGGGAGAGTGGGTTAAGTTGAACCAAAGGGTACGTTGAGCCATCCCCTGTTGCTTAGAAATGGTAAAAGAAATTGTGACCAAATATTTAGGAGATGGGCATCAATTCATGGAGTCTGTGAAGGTTAGAGGCACATGGGTGATGGGGTTAGACATTTATTCCCCCCCCCAAAAAAAAAAAAATTACACTCTTGAAAGTGAATTTGGTCTGTCATAAGTTTTATTAGAATCATTTTAAATTTGTTTTATACATCATTGTATTGATACATTGTGGTAGCTATGATCGACAACATGAGGTCAAAAACCTAGAATAAAAGTCCACCACTTTAGCTTAGAGGCCTTATAAAGTCATAATAGTAGTTCTGGGGTAAGTTGAGCCAGTGGCTCAACTGAGAAAGTAAAGGAATCTGATGAGAGGATCAGAGTTTCAGTTCAGATTGTTGAAATGTGTTACTTCTTCTTTTCAAAAATACAGCTGTGAATGTTCTGAATCATTTAAAGGTATTCTCATGTTAAAATACAAACTGTAATGAGGCTGTAGACGGCTGAAATGTTGCACAGTGTTGGAGCTGCTGATCGGGATGGAGGTGAATCTCAGTCCTAAGATAAAAAAGTTAGAGCTGGTCTTTCTACTACAGGTAGGCATCTGTATCAATTCTGTTAAATTTGTTCCAAATGATTGTCTGAATATACCACCAGCTGACAAGAGAGCGACAACAACACTCGATGTGCCATCCACAGCCTACCAGTACAAATATTGCAGAACTCCATCGAAGCACACCAAAACAAAAAAGCTCATTTCTAGAAGTTTTTTTGGCCTTGGGCTACCCAGCTGCAAGTATTTTGCTGGAGTGTCTCTGCCTTATCTGTACAACTGTACACATGTACTGAGCTGCAAAGGATGTACTTTTGTTCCACTAGAACAGACATTTGGTCCAGACAAACCCCACAGCCTCACACTAGTGCATTTTATCAACAACGATGGAGCTCTGGGACATTTTCCTTGGTAAGCCAACTGACCAGGGGCTAAAACACGATTTCATATGTCTTTTTGTTTGTTAGTAATTGTGCTTGTTTGTTTTCAAAGAATAATAGATTACATCATAAATGGAGTCTGGTGTGAAAATTTCAGAGGTTTTATTTAAAGGCATATCCCCCTGCCTTTACTGGAGTTCACTGAACTGGCTGTCAGACTACATCTGCCAAGAAAAGGCTGGAAAACACTGGTCTGTACTACAGACACACTCACAGTCAAAACACATCTGGAAACACACCTATGTACGTGCTGCTAAATATCCTGATGCTGATACCACCACCTGAGCTATCTCAGCATGGAGATCTACAATGTTTGATTCACATTTAATAAAGTTATATAAATGAGCACATTTAATTCCAATCAGATTAGAACAAATCAGATAACTTAACTAGCCTAGAGGCAAATTTTTTGGCTCAAATGAGAATCGGCTCAAAGAGAAATGTATCAAAAACAAGTCCTGTGATAGAAATAAAAGCAGCAACTCCAGCCAGCTGGCTCAAACTCCACCAGGAGGATTAAATGAGCAGCTAACCCAAGCCTTCTTGTTGGAAATTAATTGATCACTTTAACATGGACACCACTGATGCAGTGAATTTGCTACAGGATGTCAAAATGATTGATTTGTATGCAAAAATATGCATCACTTTGTCAGATCATTCCTGGCAGCAGCAACCAGACACACTGAGGGACTCTCAGGTGAGTATGGAGGTCAGAGTTAAACATCTGGCCATGAGTTCATTAGATGATGAAAAGATAAATACATGTTTTGTGATGTTTGAAAGATAACCCCAGAGCATTCCTTTTGGTCTGTAATGAACATTTAAAAAATTGCAATGAACTTGTGAGAAAAGTGTTGAATGGCCAAAGCTTTGAAAAATCTATGCTTTGAAACATCCATAAGCCTGCTACAATGTGTGCATCTTATTTTGAAAACCCTTTGCTTATAGATTTCTAATAATTATATCAGTGTCACATTAGCATTCAAGGTGAAAAGATTGAAATATCTGTATTAAAAAAGTCACATGATGCCCGTCCTGTTGCAAGCAATTTCAGTCATTCACAAATAAAATAAAACTGTTAATCATTTTGCAACTCAATTATACTCTATACTTGATTAAAAAGGTGCAGGAAAAAAACATATATGTTGTAACTGAAAAGCGTTATTATTATTTTTTTTTTAAATATGAAGCACAGGCTTGCTTTAAATTTGCTGCCACATCGAGGAAAAGTGAGGACAGGGGAAGTTCTGACATCTTCATCATCTCCCTTTTCACATCTCTGTAAAGGTATGGGGCCACTTTTGGAGTTGAAAAGAAATATTAACTGATAGCAGGTTCAGCATCTCCTTTGTAGTTTTATAATTTGCTAAATGTTTTCAATGGGTGACAAGTTGGGACTGTTGCAGGTGCATCAGTTTCACTCTTTGATATGTTATTTTGCTGAGGTTTAAATGATTTGCAAACACGGAAACATATTTCTACCCACATTTTGAGTAGAACAATTTGACGACTGGACAAATTATTGGGGCTAATATTAAGGATTTGGTTGCTAATCTGTATTGCCTTTTATTTTACGGTCCAAAATGGTCCAAAAAAATAAGGTGTGCTACTTTAGCTCCTCTGGTGTGTCTTTTCCTCTGGGCCCTACATTTCTCTTTTTTTTATTGGTCTAACTTAATGTCCACAACACCGTCTAATGGGCTAGAGGTTGTCTGTCTAAGTGGCTGTTGACTCCTGAATATGATGCTAAAAGTTTCAGTTTTGACAAAACATTTTCTAATGGCTCTGTTGGAGTTTAAAATACATAAAACTTTATGCAGAAGAATGGTGGAAATAATTTAGGTCACTCTTTCACTAACTGCATGTAGGCAAAGCCTGATGTCCAGGACATGGCCACCTTTCAGTAAAGCCCATAATGCATTCCCACACACATGAGCATCCTTTGGAAGTAAAACACGTTTTCATGAAAACTGTTACTAAAATGTGAGTCCCAAAATCTTCTTATTTTACCAGAAATATCCCCCACTGTGCTCTTTCTTTTTATGAAAGAACTCACTCAAATGTATTACGTCCCCCAAAACAGGCTGATTTCACTCTTGCAGAGAGTCTTACAGCTTTAAAACCAGGGACTCTTCCTTTAACAGACAGTGACATTGATACCAGTGGTGGAGTCAATCTGAGGTCCTACGACAATTATTGTGTAATTATTAAATCAAATTTCTTGGCTGATCACACACATTCCCGTCTCAAACTAGTGCAGTACCAAATATGCTGGTTATGCAATGAGAGAACGTGTCTTTGCTCAAACAACATACTCTGCATTAGCTTCTAAGGAGGTCGAGCTGACAGGGACAGCACCACAAGGCTTAAAACAAGACTGTTAAATTCATTTACATACTTTGGTGTAAACAGAATAATCCTCTTGCTCAGGTCAAGAACTTCTAACAAGCCTGTGTGTTTTCCAAGCTGAAGCTGAACAAGTCTGATGCCACATCACAAGTTTGCGTTTCAAAAAGCAGTATTACAGCCGACCATGCAGACACTGATGCTGCCAAATCTATTCTTTTGTTCACAGAGAGGTAATCAAAGCACTGATGGTCTGTGGTTTAATGGATTAAATCAACAAACGGATGGCTCAAGTCAACAAATCGACTAGGAGTAACATGAGAGATGTTTGAAGTTTTCTCAGTATCAATGCCAGGATGCCCCCTGTCAAGCAAAAAAAAAGACACAGGTTTTGTCAAGTCAGTGCAAAACTACCCTTATAGAAATTAGGCCTCAAAATAGAGGACTTGTTTCTTCCTGTAAATCAATAGCAAACAAAGAAAAATACATACCACCATGGTTGCTCTAATTAATCTGTTAATGAGGAGCAGAAAACAGTTTGCAAAAGGCAAAGACACTTCTTAAAGCCAGTAAAACGTCAGCACTCAGGGCCTGTGTCCACCAACAATGGTTGAGCCACTTACGGGAACTATTTGCACATTTTGGGCTTTCCAGTGTTCAGTATCCTCAGCACAGTTGGCAGGTTGGCCAATGGCTGATATATAATGCCAACATCATGTTATTTTTAAAAACAACAGCTTAACCATAGTGGAGGAACAAGTAATTTAATAATCCACCATTCCAAATAAACACTGTATAATTTTACAATACACTTAGTCATCTCGGCCAGTAACATGTTTAGATGGATTGTTGATAAATTCATGAAACAGAAAAAAGTACTGGGCAACGCAATCGACTTCAGAACATGAGTGACATTTCTTTCAGAGGCAGCATTAAACGACATGAATCTACACATCATAACAGAATTTATATTGAACATTAGCCAGTGAGAGTTGTGGATTTGATATGTTGTCACTCAGGATGTGAAAAATGCGTCATCATTTAAAAAAGATGTTGGTGTCCAAGGAAGTTTCTGCAAATATTTAAGGTTTGGTGCATGAGAGTTAAAATAAAGGCACAGGGCTCAAAAACAGACCTTAACCTCAACATCGACGACCTTTCCCAAACTGTGTCAAGGCAAATTTTGAATGTTTGTTCTTGTTTGCTGACAGACTCGGTTAGAAGACAAATACCAAATCTAAGTGGGCCAAGAATAACTTTATTCACTCCCATTGCACAGCCTGCTCATAAACCATATATAATCTGTCAAGGGACTGGAGGCGTAACTGATGAGGCTGCCTATAATGTCTGCTTAATAAATAAATAAATCTGTCAATTAATCAATCAATTAACCAATCAATCAGGTGAGAGCAGGCATCAGACCAGTGCCTATGCTAATGAGTTCAAAATGCTATTGATTGGCCTGATTAATCTGTTAACCTTAAGTTATGCAAGTGGGAAACTTCCATTGGTGGAAAAAGCCCTAAGTGATGTAATTTCATACATTTTCAGAGTGTTTTGTTTCCACACTGGAGAGAGCCATTACTGATTTAAACCATAGACTATATAGAGTGGACGCCGTCTGCCATCTCGCTGGGTGAAGCCACCAGGAGAACAACACCCTCTGGTGACGGGCTGCAGTTTAGGTCATAAATCCCGCCTCCTCCAGCAATCCCTTTGGAGCTTTGGACAAACTTTAGAAATTAATTACACAGAATATACATTTTTTTCTCACCTGGTTGTGATGTTGACATGTAGTTACTGTAAGACTGGTTTGTGCTCAGGTCTTCATTTTTCTGTGCAGCTCCATTTTTAAAAGTTATTAGAGGGTTCATATTTTCTATGATTGACACTTGATACAGCCTATGGGCCTACGTGGATCGCGTAGCTCACCCAGGGGATACACTGTTTGAGCCAAGCGTCATCACAGCCACTCTCCTGCTAAATGCTTACAATTCTCCTGTGCAAGTGATGGTTCCAGGAAGTGGAGAAAATCCTGAAAGCAATTTGGCTTCAAAATCATACAATGGCGGAAGGCGGAGCCAAGTTGTCCATGGTATATACAGTCTATGATTTAAACACAATGTGAAATAATTTTGTGCTAAAAAAAGAGTGCTGTCAGCTAAGTGCATTAACAACAACATTTGTGTTTCGTCAGACTCTCCTAAAACTAACCATACACACTCACTGATATTAAGGACCCTATTTACAGCAACTGATAGCCCAGCTATTGTGCCAGGTCTCAACTTGATGCCAAAAAAAAAGGAGCCAAGATGACAGGGACCTCATGTGAGTAATGCTCTTCCTATGTACAAATACCTCATACAGCCCCACCTCAAATAAATTATACAAGTGCTTTGGGCCACACAACACTGATAGCACTAACATCACATCCGTAAAAGATGTGTGGTCAAGTTAACTGGACTAGTTATGGGTCTAATGCTTCCCTCAAGACATGTCATGAATCTGCCCAAAGAAAAAAAAGGAGCAATGCAATAATACAAAGATATTGTCCACATTTGTGTTTGTAGTTTCGAGTTCATTTCCCATTGATGAAAAAATGGTGTTCAATAAAGGTTACAGGTCTATGTCTGCCTCTAGTGTGTGTGACAGCTTGACAGAAAGACTGTGAGAGTTGATATGTATGTGAGTCGGGGTCAAAATAATGTGTTAGACAGAAAAGAAAGGTGAAGGTTTTGTCTATCATAACAACGTGAACTGCACTCTGTTCTCAGCTAATCTTGCAATGTTTGCAATTCAAAAGCAGCCAGTCAGGGATTTTTCTCCTCACTTTTTGGACGACTCAATTTCAAAACAGGTAAGAATTTCATAACTCCATGCATGCCAGCGGTGCTAAAGTGACACCAGAGACACACAATAGGTTGTGGCTCTTGCTTCTCTTTTCCTGTAACTTGTTTGCACTGAGAATCAAAAACAAGAAATTGAGGGGATGTTCCAGGCCGCTCTGACAGAAATACGTGCACCTCCTCACAGCACATTTTAGTGTCTGTGCAATCCAGGAAACACACACAGCCGCTGCCACAAGAGTCATGTCAAAGCATTCATGACTCACAAACTCTTGATTCTTTTAACACAACCTGAGGTAGCTCTTTAAACAAAACTGGACTCTACAAACTGTAAACAACATGACTGAGCGGACAGAAAACAGTATCCCAAGATCGATCAATATTTATTTGTCACATGCAGTCATCTGATACAGAGCAAACAGAGCAGTTACTGGGCTGGCCTGCACCCTCATTATTATTAAGGTTCAATCATTATTCAAGTAGTGGACAGAAATATCCAGTAGGGGTGGGAATCACCAGTGGCCCCACGACACGATATTATCATGATTCTTTGGCCACGATACATTGTTATTACAATTTTTAACATTTTGCAATACAGTTAGTATTGTGATACAATAAATTGTGATTTACTGGACAAACAGTTAATTTTATTTTTCCATTATCATCGATTTGACTTCATATTAGCGACTAATCTTTAAAAAAAAATTTGATACCTGGTAAATGAGATGATACGATATATCACCAGACAAAACATCGCGATACTATGCTGTATGGATTTTTTCTCCCACCCCTATCATTCAGATTATATTGTTGCTGCAGAAAGTCATGTTCATCAATATGTTGATTCTACTGTTTAAGCTATGTGTGTTTTGAAGAATGTGCTGTGGTAGCTGTGCCTGGAGGACTGCTCAGAACTTAACTTCAAATACGAAGTAGCATTTTCAAGCTTAGCATGGCTTCTGCAATGCTAGTGGTAAGGTGTACTGAGGAGGGGGGAGATGCTGGAGGGTCTACAGCTGGGAAACAGCAACAACTAACTTTTAGCTGAGCTAAAGAGGAGTGGGAAATAACAGAACAAGATGCTGCTAGCTGAGGGTGACTTATTTGCATTTGCAGAGGACAGGGATACAATTTTGGCTTCTGTGATCAATTTTAGCGACTCAATCACCCCCCAATGATATTCCACATTACTTTGGTCTGTGAGTAATCCACAGATGTAACAAATCATTAACTGATGGAAGTGATATGAGGGTGCAATGGATCAGCAATAAAACAGCAAGATAAAATCAGAAACCTCTAACTTTTTGTTCCTCGCTTTGCCATGTCTTTACCTGCATATTTGATTGCAGAACAAATCACCAAGCATTTTTATGCATCCCAATAAGAACACTTTCTGCTGACATTCAAAAAGCCTGTGGACTGCACGTGAACTGTGGAGGTGGTGGAAAAGATGCAGCAGGTCACAGACCGACTGTGATCTGTGGACCCCAACGCCACCAGTTACTTATGAGTAACACTACCCAACACTGTCTGGGAGTCAGTCAATTCTTGTGGTCTGCCGTACAATACAAGAACTTCATTGGACCCCAAAGAGAAAGTCATTTGTCTGGAGCCTCATGTCTCAGAAAGGTACTGCAAGGGATTTTGTTACAGGTCTGACTAAAATTTCACAAAAAGGCCTCCACAGCTTCTTGCTTGGACATTTACAACTTACTGCACGTGTCCCAGTGCTGATTTACTCTTTAGTTTTGTATTTTATAGGTTGATATGGCCACATTGCTATTATATTAAGATACTTAAGAAATGTAAATACCCTTATTAACCATGATGAAGTATATAGTCTCTTCATCAAATTGTTTCAGTGGACACACTCCCCATCAAATCCACGTAAACATTGCATTTTGTCAGTGACTATTTTCCTTCCTCTTTTGAACAGAATAACAGATTATGAGTCATCCATGGTTCACATGAATCATCATTATACCCTTCACCAAGTAACACTCTTGACCAGCACTGTGTGATTCAGAGCAGCTCTAAATGCGGCTGCAAAAAATAGGCAACAAGAACTGGCTGAGATAACAAAAGAAGAAACGCACGTCTTGCCCTGAGGCTCTCACTTACCGCTTCCAGCTGCTTCTTCTTCTGGACCAAGAGCTCCAGCATCAGATTGACGTTTGCCAAGTCCAAGTTCTCCTGGTCAGGACTCAACACGTCTTGGAAAACCTGCCACCGAGACCCGTTCTGTGGGTCACAGAGGCTGATCAGTTACAACATTTTTATTTTGTTTTTCAACAAGCCTGAAGATAACAGGCATTTTTCACTGATCCATAGAAAACCCAAACTAGAAAAAGTGTCTTTTACTTACAGGATGATCTAGCTTTAGTCTCTTCTCCTCTGACCTCTGTTTCTGTTTCAAGATGAGTTCATTTACTAGAACATGAAGAAAAGGAGGGTCAAGGGCAAATGAGAACATTTTTGACCGTAGTATGAGGCACAAAAACAACCAAAGAGTGACCTCAGAGGAAAAATAAGATGACACTAAAATATAGATTTGAAATACTGACATAAAAATTCAAAATCAAAGATATCATACAACACTCAGTATGCACTATATCTTATGTAATTCGTAAGTAAATTCCAGATTTGCTGTGTGACTATAAGCTAAACAATGACTGTAAAATAACACCTGAAAACAAACTCCCAGATACATACCAAGAAAGTTGGGGTAGAGCTGATCCACATTGTCCACAATGTAGTTGCACTTGGGACATCTGTTGCTGTCCTCCAGACTCTGACGTATGCACTTGAAACTGTCAGAGTCAGAAAGAAGCAAAACGGGGCTGAAACCTTCAGACGTTTCTAGTATAATCTAGGATAATGTTTTATCACTTTGGCTTGAATGATTTAAGGCAGTGTTATTTCAAGTCATAGAATCTGATCTGTCATACAAAAACTCAGTTAAAGGTTTTAGTAAAAATAATGGTGTACACATTAAATAAATGCTGTATTTAATTAAAAATAGTGAAAAGCCAACATATCAGTGTTGAAGATTAGAATTTTGAGTATTTTTTTGAATATAAAAAATGCTCATTTCAAAAGTGAGGCCAGCAGCTTGTTTAAAAAAGTTTGAACAAGGACAACAAAAGCACTGGAAAAGTTGTGAAATGCTGAAAAAAGACCTGGAAGATTATCTTCTAACTAACAAGGTTCCTTTGCAACAGGTTGGAAATATGGCTGGGTTTAACAGGGGCACTGCAGAGGGCTGAGTCTCTCAGAAGTATGGATGAGAAGAGGTTCAACATTTTGTGAGAGACTGCACGAGCAAAAGTTCACTCATTTCAGAGTTATATTCCCCAGTGTAAAATTTTTAAGAATTTGGAGACTTCCTCATCTCCAGCACATTAAACCAGTGAAAGGTTCTCTGTGCCAGAAAAAGACCAAGGTTCAAAACAAACACTGGGTGTCTATGATCTTCACCCCCCCATTAAAAACAGACATGACTGTACTTGACATCATTGCATGGGCTCAAATCTACATCACTATACTTCACTGCACAGATGCAGGTTAAAGCTGTGTTTCCTGTGCAAAGATGAAACTATATACAAAAACGATTCAAAAGCTGCAGGGACTTTAAGGTGGACTGAGGCAAAAACAAGCCTGTGATCGCGTAGATTAAAAATTCACATTCTGATTGGAAATCATGGACGCCGCATCCTTTGCTTTAGAGGACATGGACAAACATTATCATCTCCCAGTTCACAAGGCAGTCCCCATGAGGATGTTTAGATGCTGAAGTGCCCAACTTCATCAACAGTACATATAGGGTCCCAGCCATAGCAATAGCCATCAAACATCTTTTTAGCTTTGCCTGGTTGTTTTAGCAAAGAGAATAAACACAACTCACTCACTCTCTTCCAGCAGCCGCATGTTTGTAGCGAGACCTCAGGCGAGTCCATTATGGACTGCAGTGGCTCAAGGAAGAACATTTATTTTTGGCTATAAAGTGGCTTTTTTGGTTGAGGTTTGTTTATGGCTCCTGAGATCGCTGTGTATTGTTATCGTACGGTGGTTACTAAAGTTGGTATAACTTGTGAAGCAAGTGGTCTGCAACATTCTTCTCTTGAGGAGGTATCTAACTCAGTGTTATGGCGTGTTTTGATGCAAATTAATTTTATGCCGGAATATCCATCAAATGACTTGCAAAACATCAAATTCTCTATTTCACACTTTACCCTGTAGTCTGACCTTTCTAGAATTGGGGATGTATTACAGTAACTGGCAAAAAAAAAGAGCAGATGTGACAATAAGTTATGGCTCCTGCTGAGAAACATTATTCAGACATTGTTGGACTATTTGCTCATAGCAGTCTCTCACAGAGTGATAGATCTCTGCCCATCTTTCATACTAAGAAACTCAGTATCTCTGGAGTACCCCAGATATACTCTGTAATGATACTATCTTGCTGCAAATTAATGTAAACAGTTAGGAGATGCTCCTTTAAATGTTTAAGCATTGGAAAACTTTTTCAGGGTTTGCTGTCCTTGTCCCAGCTGTTTTGAAACCTATTGCTGGCATCAAATTGAAGGTGCTAGTGTCAACTCTACAGTGAGTACTGACTTGAAAACAACCTAGTTTTGACATATGAAGATCTGGTGTGAAAAAGTTTTCTATATTAGATATGTGTTGCTGTCCTAGGTGATTAAAAGCAGTGATCACTGTAAAAGAAAGCTCCAAACTTCACAGTGCATGAGCTGCAAATCAACACTCACCAAAAGCTGTGCCCACACTTAGTCATGTGCGCCTCCTCTATCATCTCAAAGCAAATGGGACTGAAAGGTAAACAGAAAGTCGTGTCACCAGCATGACCACATTTCACTTCATTACTTCAAAACACTTCTGTAAGCTTCAGGCATCCTGCAGAGAAAACTAACCAGACAAAGTCGTTGCTTTTGTCCTCGTAAGAGTTTAGGAGGCCATTGTAGAGAGGTGCTTGGTGGAGGGATTTCTTCCTGCTGCCTGAGGATGCAGATGGTCGGCTCAGGGAGGCAAACCCGCCCCGGGACGATGGCACGGCCAAACTTGGCACCGACAAGCCGCCCTCTCCGGCCGCTGCCGGGGTCCTTGAGGGCACAAGATTTCCAGCATTCCCATTACTTGAGACTGTGTTGTTTCCACCGTTTGAGTTCCCGGCTCCTCCTGAGCTGCTGCTGCTGCTCGTACTGGGTACTGAACTCGCTCCGACACCGCTTTGCTGCGGCCGGTTACCCGACATGATGCGAGGCCGACGAAAGGCTCCTCAAACTCCGCTGAGTGTCTGATCAGAGCATCCGGACAGAGCTGTTGCTTTAGCAGGTTAGCTTTTGAGCTAGCATCACGGAAAAAAGCGACAGTGGTCAAGCATCCAGCGTTTTTAAACTCGTCCGTTTCTGTCTGCCTTGCGTCTGTTAATGACAGCGTATTACAAACTCACTGTTATACAAATGCAAAAGGAGATTTAAAAAAAACCTGATATGTGAACTAAAACAACCACTGCTGCTATATCCAGGAGATTAGCCAGCTTGCTATCGTTAGCTATGGAGAGGAATCTCTTCAGTTTCCTCGATTACTCAGGTGCTCAGTGCTTCCGACTTTTAGCAGCGCCCCCTAGCAAGGAGGAGTGGAACTGCACGGATTAGTGCACTGAATTACCTGAGTTACCCTTTAAGTCTTTGCAGATTTTTGTACAACACGAGACCGGGGAAAAAAAATCATTGTATCACAATGTAACCTTGGTAAAAGTTAATTTGCAAATAAAACAATAAATACAACTTCTGCAAACCTGTTAATTGATTGAATCTTTGGACAAGTTGGTTCCGCCTACCGCCTGTATACGGATTTAAAGCCAAAAAGCTCTCGATATTGCTGGGATTTTTCTTCATTTCCTGAAACCAGCGCTGCGCAGTAGCGATGCGCGCATTCGGCCGCGCAGTCCCCGAGAGTCGCTGTGATGACGCTCGGCTCAAACAGCGTATCCCCCGGTGAGCTAAGCAATCCATCAACGCCCATAGGCTTTATCAGCTGTCAATCATAGAAAACATGAACCCCCTAATAACTTTTTAAAACGGAGCTTCACAAAAAAAAAGGACTTGGGCACAAACCAGTCTTACAATAACTACATGTCAACATCACAAGCAGGGGGGAGAAAAAATTATGTTCTGTGTTATAAATCTCCAAAGTTTGTCCACAGCCCCATAAGCTTTGCTGGCGGAGGTGGGATTTATGACCTATACTGCAGCCCATCAACAGAGGGTGCTGCTCTCGGAGTGGCTTCACCCAGCGAGGAGGCAGATGCTGTCCATTCTTTATAGAGTCTATGATATGCTTGCTTTTTTTTTTTTTTGTTTTTTTTACTGTAAAATGAAGCTTTAATAGTTTGCTTTTTGTCTTTCGAGTTTTAGATTTTTCTTCGTATTATTATTATTTAGTTCTAGAAGTGTAAATATATTATAAATATTAACTATAGCTCACAAGATATTTTTCTTGTGCACACACGATATAACAATATGTGCAGTCATCCCATGAAACTGGTAATGATCTCATGTGCAAGAGATCTCACAAGATAAACTGTGTGCGAAATATATTTATGTGCAGTACATCGATGGCATAACTTGTTCCAAGTAAATAATTCTTAAGCACCCATCAGTTATCTTATGCACACAATATTTGAGATTTCATTTTGAGGGACTGCAAGGCTTTGAGGGATGTTGCAGTTTGGTTGTTTTTTGTTTGTTTGTTTGTTTGTTTGTTTGTTTGTTTGTTTGTTTGTTTTTTTTTTTTTGTTTGTTTTTGAATGTTCACGATTTTCAAAATTGAAGTGAAATTGAAATCTTTAAGTTCATCATTGCTCTTTTATTTGGAAAATATGTGACCTTACCTCTGGTTTTGCTTGCTCTCAAGGTTTTTGACCCTGTCTGTCTGCTGCGCTATAAAAACAGGTCAGATGACATCAACCTTTAGATCACGCTTGTTTTGCTACAAAACAACTAATACCTTGCTGCAAAAAAAAAAAAAAAACAAACACAATCCAACCGAAATAGTTTAAAGCTGGAAAGCATTGTCCATTGTTCTTTCCTCTCAGCCAGTCTACGCACCCATAACAATCAATAAACAATGGATCTTTTGGCTCCCTGGTTTTTAGCTTTGTGCATGCTCAAAATTAGAAGAAGCAATAACTATAATGAAAATAGAGTGTTTTAAGTGCTGTGCGATCTGTTGTGGAAAAAAAGCTTCATTACTTTAAGCTCCAATGAGGAACTTTCTGTCTGTGTTGACTTTGACACCCCCTGTGAACAAATTAGTAACCCTTATGTTGTTTCTGATTTTCTTTAGTCCTTGTAAAGTGGTGTAAAATGACAGAACAGTCTCCTTCTACTGTCCTTTTTATGGTAAAATCTATCATTAACCACATTTATTTCCTGTGTGAAAATTAATAATGGCTGTCTTGTCAGAGTACATTTCTCCCAATAGCAGTTACCGGCATTAAAAATGCTGATTTTATTGTAAAACCTGATATTAATTGTTTCATTTAATTTTAAACAACAAAGAAACACATCATTCTTCATTCCATTTTGTTTTGTAACCCTTCAGAAATTCCTCATTGGAGCTTTAAACTAAAGGCAGTTTAATAACTTATTTGATAACTTGTACTGAATAAAAATTACTTGATAAGTGTTGATTCCAACAGCTGACTCATTTATTAGACATCTATGAGCACGAGATCAACAAGTAAAACAAGAGACCAAACTCAACAGTGCCAATATAATAATATAATATGGCACTTTTTCTTCAGTAGAGTGATTTAATAATGCCATATGATCAGTGACTTCCATGCTGGTGGGTGCGACTCTGAGGGTGGAGTTATGAAAAGTGTGTGCGAGGTTCAATTAAATCAATGCACACATTTTTCACTCAAGCAATTAATGGCCCTTTTTTTCAAAGGAATCCCATACAAACACAAGACTATTAATGAATCCAAAACAAATTTAATAACTATTAAAACAAACACAAGAAACTATGATGAGTCATACCTCACTCTGGGCTTCACCTCTGCCACTTGTGGGATACCCTGACGTTTAAATATGGATGCAGAGTGCAACGTTACCGTCAGTTGCATCAGTTGTAATCGTTTCTTGTTGGTATTTAAGACTGAAGTTGTAATTCTTAATTTCTACAGAAAATGTTTCCAATATTTATAAAGACTCACAAATTCTTCAGTAAAGGATGTATGTGATTATGTGTTTTATGCACAGTGAGGGGGATAGGATGCATGGACACCTTTTTTATGTACCAGGGAGGAGCCCTGCTGGAAAAAAATTGGAAACAACTGCATGAGATGCACGTATAACAAGACCCCTTAATTATTTAAAACACAGGAAAATTAGAAAATAAAGTATACTTCAGGAGATTGGTCAGACTGTAACTCATACTGAGTACTGCACAAACAAAGGTTCCAGTGGTTTCAGTCCACCCCAGAAAAACAGCGTCTTCTCATGTTTGTCTTTTTCTTTTGTGGATGATATGATTTTTACATCAGAAACAAGCAGGTAGGCCCCATCCACTAAGTGCATCTGGCAGCGGAGCCAAAAACAACAGTGTCATGTCATTCAGGCATCCACCTGCAGCTCTGCAAATAAAACCTGAGTGGCGCTAACATATTCACGCTCACAATTTATCCAGCCTGCTACTTGATTTTCCATTTTTACCTCCGTGTGGGCAAACAAGGGGTCCTCCACGGAGGCACGCACTACATGGATTTTCCCATGTTTTTGTTTATGGAAGAAGTTTATATGTATCATTATGGAGCTCAGTTAGGATGTTTAATAAGGTTTCAGCTAGAGGAAAATTACTGGATACATCCAAGAGTAAATTCATTTTCTTTAATGGACCACCATGTGTAGTAAATGAATCTCTCTTTGCTGTATGTGCATGTTTTTATGTAGTAGATGAAAATACAGCTCATGATTCAAACACCTTAAATACTCAGTGCATGCAACAACTGACTCTGAATAAGCTCCTTTGTGCCAAACACCTTCAGTACAGTATACACCATGTTGTATTTGTCCCCCTGAGCCCAGTTCCCTCCCCTCTTTCTATTTTACACCAGTGGTGCTGAAAAGATTGCCTCCTTTCTTTTTTTCCCCTTTCTTCTTTCTTCCCCTCCTCATTTGTCCGGCACATCGGCCTGGATTTTCTCCTGTTGGGTCCCCCCTTTTTTGCATGAGGTACCAGGTTGTGTGTGTGTGTGTGTGTGTGTGTGTGTGTGTGTGTGTGTGTGTGTGTGGGTGGGTGGGTGGGGGGTAATATGTGTGTTTGTGAAGGCTTGGTGGTGTTGGTGCAGTTTGAGGTTAGTGAGCAGCAAAGTGGTAAGAGAGAAAGAGTGAGTGACACTGACAAAATAATGAGGGTGTGTGGAGGAATGAGTGAGTGAGGAAAAGAGTGTGTGTCTGTGTGAAAGAGAGATAGATGGGGTGGGGTGGGGGGGCTCGGGGTCGTTGGGGTCAAGACCGACAAGCTCAGATGAAGGATAATCTGTGGAGGTCCCGTACAGTGGGGGGTGAGGCCCCGGAGGAGCACGCCCATTCAGACACCCTCTTACACACACTACCACACACCGCACACCCTTCTGTTGCCCTCTTCCTCTTTTTCCCCTCTGTCTCTCCTCCTTCATCCTCCTTTTCACTCCCTTTTTTTGTTGCTTTCTCTAAACCCACCCTCCTCTTTCTCTTGTTTCTTTTTTTCTTGTAACACAGTTGCAGCTGGATTTCAAAGGGCACTTGGCCAGCAGAAAAAGCTGAATGTTTAGCAGGCAGATCCCTCAGTCAGGCAGGCTGGGATTGTGGAATTCCTGCCTCCCACTCTTTAGGAACCGTTTTTGCCCCTTCGGGGGCCCCTGCCATAACTGCCAGCAGCCTCCTCCATCTCCATCTCCAGCCTCCAGCCAGGGCCCTGTTTGCAAATTGAGCAGGACAAGAAATATTGAGGTCTGAGGGAGAGGAAGGGGGCAGCTTTGGAGGTGTGGAACAGTAACAGCTGCCTTTGTTTGCAGCAGTTTGAAGTAATCAGTGGCAGAGTAAACAATGAGTGTCTGCATCCTGATGAATGAATGAAAATGCCAGCATGTTTCATGCATAATGCAGTCAAATAAACCACATTCACACACACGTGTGTGTCCAGTCTCTGATTATGTCTCTTGGGTTTGAGGATTTCATGAAAGCTGTGACTCTGCACATCACAGAACTATCTGGTCCTTGAGGGTTCATAGAGTATTGTCTGTCCTGGTTGTGAAAGGAGACATGGACACTGTTGTAGTGTGCTCCAGCTTCGTAGCAGCCTCGTAAAGATGTCTGATCAGAGACTCACTAAAAAGATATTTATTTTTTATTGTCACCCTTTGGACAATGAGATAAAATCTATATTTTGTTGAACAAAATGAAAATTTTTCCCCTCACTCAGTAACTCTGCGATAAAGTTACTGTGTGTCAAGAAAAAAAGTTACAGAGTGGAATTTAATGTTAAAGAAACTTTCAGTTTGTGTCAATTTTGGTGCTCCCTGTTGGTGAAGCAGTCTTTGCAATGTAAATTAGCGTCCTTTCTAGTGTTACTGTCCCATCTATCAAGACCTATAGCTTTTGTGAAGAGTTCTTTGGTATCTAATAAATAGACTCAAAATCATATTGTTACTCTTTTATAATATCCAAAAGCAAATAAAACCACCAGTGACATGATAGAGGATTTTTATATAGCAGTTTAGGTCCGATTTAACAATTTCCGTATAAAATATTCACAATAAATGAAACATTTGTAGGTCAAAGTCAGCAGGATGAGATCCCTTAGCTTGTCGAGCACAAGATAAACACAGTCTGCTTTGTCCACAGGGGGGCCACAACACTGACAAAGCCTGGAAGCTCCTTACGGGAGCTATAAGGAATGTGCTTATCCTTAATTAATTCTGGTTTCTTTGGTTGAATTATTATTAAAAACTTGGATTGTGTTTAAGAGAGGGAATCTTTTTTTTTTCTTTCTGCAAAGCCTGCAGGGAGAAAAAACAGGATCCAGTTTTAAATTGAGCTGTAAAAGGAACATGCAACTCCCAAATGAACCTGTTATGATCATCGACAGTATATACTACAGACAACTTGGCTCTGCCTTCTGTCAGTA